GTATTCACCAATTTGAGAGACAGGCATTGATAGCCATCAACGCTCTTCCAGCATATTATCAGCTACACCAACTAGACACGAGTAGGACCAAAAATACCTCCTCCCAACGCACACACTGAAATTAAGAGAGCAGGACCTCATGAAGTTGCTTCTGCTTCCATGAGAGAGAGACCCACACAACTCAGGCCATTTACGTATATACAGAAGAGAATCAAATGCTAATAATCCCACACCTTTTTAAAAAAACCCAAACACCACTCCCACTTGCAGAGCTATTATGAGTATACAAGGATTTTAGCCTTGCCTGCAGTGGAGCATGCTGTTTTCCTGTATTCAGAGGGGTGTGGATTTGTAGGAGAGTCCTGACATCATCATCATCATCATCATAAATTTTATTTATACCCCTCCCTCCCCGGCCAGAGCCGGGCTCAGGGTAGCTAACACCAATAAAATCACAATAAAAACATAATAGGGAAGGGGGGAGAACCAATTTAAAATACAGGTTAAAATGCAATTTAAAATGCAGCCTCGTTTTAATAGTAGCCCATGGTTCAAAACCATAAGGGGAGGGAAACATAAGGGTCAGATTGAGTCCAAACCAAAGGCTAGGCGGAACAGCTCTGTCTTGCAGGCCCTGCGGAAAGATGTCAAGTCCCGCAGGGCCCTAGTCTCTTGTGACAGAGCGTTCCACCAAGTCGGGGCCAGTACTGAAAAGACCCTGGCCCTAGTTGAGACCAATCTAACCACCTTGCAACTTGGGACCTCCAAAGTGTTGTCATTTGTGGACCTTAAGGTCCTCCGCGGGGCATACCACATAGAGAACTCCCCACCAGTTGCCTGAAGTGCTGGAGTCTGGGAATGACTTTGCCACTCGATTCTGCTGACTGTTTTAAACGAAGAGAATGTCCTGTGCAAAATAATTGCCGTTATTATATACAGTGATTTTTTCCTGGCCTCCCTTGCAAGGAATGCACGCCTACATAAGGGAGTGTGGGAGGAACAGGATAGGAAAGGACTGCAATCCTGAATAAATTGGCTGCTATCACATGAACGAAAGGTAAAGAGTCACAGTGCATGTCTGCTACATACAGGCAGAAATGCAGGGAACAGCACCCTCCCCACAGAAGTGCATTTAGCATCTTAGCTGCATAGCTTTCAGTGTGTGCTGAAAATGCACACCTCTTTATCCTGTTCTTTGGCGGTTTAGGTATTTTGCATTGCGGGGACCACCTCTTTCGTTGCATTTATACTGCTCTGTTGCATTTGGAACTGTTTACATGTTTGTTTGTTTGTTTGTTTGTTTGTTTGTTTGTTTGTAACGTAGAATCATCTAATTTTAAAGTTGGAACGGATCCCAAGGGTCAAACCTCCTACAATGCAGGGATCACAACATGCAGTCCTCCATCCAAAAATAGTGTTACAATTGTATATTAGATTCTTGTAATCTGTCCTGGTGCCTTACTCTGAAGAACAGGTAAGAAATCTAATCAATAAATGAAATACTGCACAAAAAGAACAACAGAAAGATGAGAGACAACAACCTTCAGACTAAAACAGACAAATCTGACACACACACACACCCAATTTTAAATCAAGCATATAATATTATAATTTTATGCTCAGACAGAAACTACAAAACAAAGGGAAGGGGAAATATTTCTTTTAGTTGGCCCATCTCACATTTGGGGTTGACTTCCGCTGGATCTAGCTTACTGGTCCCTCTTAGCCAGGCATCAACTCCCTTCTAAACCGCCTCTGATCCACATTCCAAGAGTGCTAGATAAATGGGGATACTTTCAGGGAGTTTTAATCCTCACCTCTGAGACCTTGTTTTACCCAGACCGTTACGCTGGTGACATCAAAACAGCTCCTCCTTTCTCTGCAAGAACCTCCCCTGCCCCATTGCACTTTGCTGCGGCTTCACTGCGGAGCGTGAAATGGGTACAATTTCAGTTACCTGTCCTCCAAACAGATAATAGCAGAGCTCAAGATCTGTAGCAGAGGCATTCCTACACTTGGAGAATTAAAATGCCCATGACTTTTACAGCATTTGAGACTAGATCGTCATCACCAATATCGCAGGCACAGAAAACCCATGGAGAAATTGACTCCTGCCAATGCATAATAAAGTTTTACCTTTTCGCTTATTTGACAACCTGTCTAGCTGGACTCTGTCCCACCCTGGGTAACTTCCTCCAATGAAGCCGCAGGATGCCCAGAGCCAGGAGATTCCGGTGAGCAGACAGAGTCCAACTCTGGCAATGATCAGAAGACCTTTGCGTCCAGAGAGAGACCAGACCCCTGGAACATGTCTCTAGAGGTTTCCAAAGAAGGACTTTTGGGTTGGGTCCCTAACTCTTCTGGAGCAGAAGAACCATCTCTCAATTTGAGAGCAAAGACATTCAGGCTAGCTGGCAAAGGAGTGTGTGCCTAAGAGCCCAAAGTAGAGCTACTCATGAGTAAAGGGTTCTTGGGGAGAGAGTTCCCCACCCCCCCCAAAAAAAGTGACAGAAAAGTGCACTGGAAAGTGTGAGGTAACAGCCACTAGCTGACAAGGACTTGTAACCTTGGTGTCGCAAACCTCAGGATAAATGTTCAGGAGGCATTGTATAACCTCTGCCCAAGTTTTGTGTGTGAACAGCATCAGCGTGAATGTTCAAGCATGGAAGCTCTCTCCTGTTGTTGTTGTTGTTTAGTCGTTTAGTTGTGTCCGACTCTTCGTGACCCCCTGGACCAGAGCACGCCAGGCACTTCTGTCTTCCACTGCCTCCCGCAGTTTGGTCAGACTCATGCTGGTAGCTTCGAGAACACTATCCAACCATCTCGTCCTCTGTCATCCCCTTCTCCTTGTGCCCTCCATCTTTCCCAACATCAGGGTCTTTCCCAGGGAGTCTTCTCTTCTCATGAGGTGGCCAAAGTATTGGAGCCTCAGCTTCAGGATCTGTCCTTCCAGTGAGCACTCAGGGCTGATTTCCTTCAGAATGGAGAGGTTTGATCTTCTTGCAATCCATGGGACTCTCAAGAGTCTCCTCCAGCACCATAATTCAAAAGCATCAATTCTTCGGCGATCAGCCTTCTTTATGGTCCAGCTTTCACTTCCATACATCAGCTCTCTCCTAAATTCTGCTTTTCAGATTCCACTTACTCCTGAATTACTCAATGAATTTCTGACCCCCGTCTGTCATTGACCCAGGCACGGCGGGGTTTAACTTGCCCTCTCTGCCCAAGTTTTGACCCAGTTAGAGCAGAACACTATCAAAGTTCTTGTGAACTGGCTCGCTCTCACACACGAAGACAGAGATGTACGTATATACCAAGTTCTGAAATACTGGAGCATTTCAAGTTTAAAAGATGCAGCGTGCGACATCTGAACGTGAGAGCATTCTTTATGGGTTCCAGGAATTATTTCCAAAATAAATATTTCAATCATACTTTGATAAGTTACGACACATTATTGCGCCGTGAATCTCTCGCACATGTCTTCACCTGTCAGCTACGTTGGAGAGAATGCGTTTGGGAATAAGACGCATGCCAGAGACATGCACCACTCTCTGCCCCTCCTGTGATGTGTTGTGCCTGATGCTGAGGCCTTCTGCCAGATCTCTTCCTCCGCTTCACAATCCGAGAGCAGGGAACTTAGGCAATTGTAGACTCTGGAATTAATGGTCTTATTGGGGGTGGGGGTGCAGGCCTATCCACCTTGGTTGCTCACTCTGTAGAGCGTTTTATAATAATTATAATAATTTATTACGGCCGTAGGCCCATACAGATAAAAACAAGACATAAATAACAACCTGTGCACATGGGAAAAAACAGCCACTAAAACACTACTATAACAATAAACTACTATAAGATGGAATGGCATACTACGCCTTAATTAGCTTGTGGTGCTCCTTGGCAACGCTTTTGAGTAAGGACAGCGACCAGGAACCTAGCCACTTTCAGGGTCGTATGGGTATCCTTATCCTGCAAGATTTGGGCAAGGTGGAATTTTGGTGGAGTACCCTCTAATTTCTGTATGATTGATCCTAACAATTTTGCCCGTGGCACCTTGAATAAGGGGCAAGTGAACATAATGTGCTGAAGCGACTCCGGCATCTCCTTATCACATTCGCACATGGCGGAGGTTTGGCCCTTTGAGAATCTATGTCTCAGGGCATTGGAGGGAAAAACATTAAACCTCGCTTTGGTGAAGGCCAGCCTATGGGCAACAGTCGAAAGGGAGGAGAGGTATGATGGAACGCAGTAAGTTAAAGTGATACCAATGTTCTGGGGCGAACAAACACCTCCCCCCAGCATATAATTTCGCTGTAAATCGATGTCATCCAGTCTTTGGCAGATCAGTCTTTGAGCAGTGGTTTGATCTAGTTTTAGGGAATCCAAGGGAGAGAGATTCCATAGCTCAGGAGTTTGGCATGAATTCTACTGGTCCAAAGGCTGGAGAATTCATCTCGCCATAAGCATTGGGCAAGGTAATGGTCTGGTAATCTATGCCACAATGATAACCAATAATTGAAGACTTGCTTCCACAGGCAAGTTTCTAAAGATGCGATCTTCAATTCTAGTCGCATGGCTGCGTTGCTTACGCACAGGGGGAGCATTAGGAGCCGACGTAGGAATTGGTTTTGCAGAGTCTCAAGAGGAGCAAGGTCTGTCATCACGGCCCAGAGCGGGGCAGCATAAGCAAGCACGGGAACCACTTTTGCCTTGAACACCTTTAGGGCCGAGGAACATGCAAAGCTCCATCCGAAAAGAAAAATCGGAGGAGCGCATATATCAGAGTTTTGGCCTTATTAAGTAGGTGTTGAATATGTGCTTTCCACCCCAAATTGTATTGAAAAATAACTCCTAGGTATTGAAATTTTAGGACTTGCTCTATTTTTGCTCCACCAAGCTTCCATTCGTATAATCTCCGACTTCTGGCGAAAATCAGAATCTTAGATTTAGCATGATTGATGGTTAATTGGTTGAGTTGACAATACGTGGCAAAGATCTTCAGAGCTCTGGTTAGTCCAACACGTGTATAAGATAGAATTACCGCGTCTGTAGAGCGTGAGTCTCTTAATCTCAAGGTGGTGGGTTCGAGCCCCACATTGGGCCAAAGTTTCCTGCATTGTAGGGGGTTGGACTAGATGACCCTTGTGGTCCCTTCCAGCTCTACAATTCCATGATTCTATGATCTGCACCGAAGTCCCACTCTGGTGGCACCACAGGGAAAACAGATTCAACGGCAGGCAGGAATTCCCCCAACACACACTAAACAGGACAAGTAAAACTTTCACTGTCTCTCAAAGGTTCTGGCTGAATGAATGAATGAATGATTTGGTATAGGAACACATAACAGCAACAGGATCCCCTCTTGCTTCTCTCCCTACAGGAGTTGGCTTCTTCCTCTTAAAAGCTTTAGCAAAAACTCACTGCTGGTGTTGGGAATAGTGAGCGGCAGAGCTGATGTTTGGAGGGTTATCAGAAAAGGAGGTGTGCCTCTGAACACCCACTGCTGGGAATCCCAAGTGGGGAAAGGGCTGTTTCCCTCAGGTCCTGCTGGCAGCCTTCTTAGGAATTATCTCGCTGGTCACTGTGAGAAGGGGATGGTGAAGCGGATGGGTCTCCATCCTGATCCAGTGGGGCTCTGAGCATGCTAATGGAATGCATCAAGTTTATAATCAAATTAAGGGCACTGGTAATAAAACCCTGCTTTAGCACCAGCCAGACATGAATCAATCCTACTAGATCCAAGACAATCCCAATTATTAAGAGCACAGAGGCTGGTCAAATACAGAGAAGACAGAAGTCAAAATGGAGAATGTGATCACTGGGTGATGTATCTGGGATGCTTTTGAGTGGAAGAAGGCATTTAACATGAAATTAGTGGGTGGACAAGTCTCTCAATTTAGTTTCTCTCTGTTTCTCATTTTCCAGTCTTCAGTACACATCGCCACATGTTTGCAGGATATATTTTTTTAAAAGTCCCCACAAAAATTCATCAGCGTTTCGCCTAATACACATCTTTTTGTAAGCAATTCCTGCCCCCCAAATATAGTGAATTCTTATAACCAATTTCCTTTAACATGGTGCATTTCTGTATGCTATTTTCAGCAACACGTGAATGAATATGAACTTTCCCTCCTAAGACACACCTCTTTTTGGTTGGGGAAAAAAGTTATTGCAATATTCAGAGAAGTGCAAATTCTCGAGGATAGCTGTCCTTTAGTTTGCATATTGTTGCATATTTCTTCCCCAGCCCTACAAGGAATCGAAAGATGCAGAAAGACTCAATAAAAAGATGGAGGGTTGATGAAGTGGGACATTCAAGATGAAGGAAAGTTGAAGTCATGTGGCTGAGAGGGACAGAGCAAAGTGAGGGGCACAGGGATATAGATGAGAAGAATAACGGCTTTGATGAAAGGAGAAATCAGATTATTTTGATGGCTATCAGCAATGTAACGATTTCAGGAATGGGAAGAATCACAGGAAAAGAATTATGTTAAGGGACAGAGGACCAGAAGATTTCAACAGCATGGACTGGAACAGGAGACAAGGGAAATAAGAAGGAATGACTTGAGATTTCCAGCAGAAAACTCAACCGCCTCTCTCCTGTTGCCTCCACCTACTCTAAAAACCTGTTTCTTAACTATAAGAACTAAAGGGAGGCCACAGCTGGACAAGCACCTTTCAAATAAGGTTTCTTTCAATACAGCTATTCCCCTTTAGAGTAAAGTGTTGGGATACTCTTTGCCTGAATCTTCCTTTTCTTTTTAATGCTGCAAAGTCAGAAAGCACGCCCTCATTAACCGACCCTGCCACTTCCACCCGTTGACTCAAGGCAAAATGGCCGGCTGTCAAGGTCTCTCTCTTCGAAGCAAATGGCGGGAGGTACAAACAAGCGCCATCGGTTGAGGCTTGTTCCTTGGTACCCCCTAACTTTTAGGAGCCCAGCCACAAAGACAGAAGGTTAAGGCTCGTTTTCTGCTGGTCTGTGCTGAAACAGAACCACCTCCAAGTCCAAATGTGGTCTCACAATTCCAAAATTTTCCAGTACATAGAGAACTACCTGTCCAGGGAATGGTTAGAGTGGATTTCTATGCATAAAAAACTGGGAGGGGGGCATTCAATCATACAAGCTCCTGCATGCCACCTAAAATGGTATGATCCAGACCCACAGCGTCGTATCCAAATGTTGGCCCTAGTCAGAGCAGACCCAATGAAATCAATGGACATGACTCGCTTTGGTTCATTGATTTCAATGGCTCTACTCAGAGTTAAAAGTTAGTTGGATACAGCCTAGACTGACCATCGCAGCACATAGGGACACAGCCAATTTTCACGGCAAAAGTGTGTTCTGGATGCCCCCAATGCAGAACGAGACGCGGACTGCCTCTCTGCCACCTATGCTAATTCTCCTCCCAAGCTCCTCCTTCCTTCTGGAACGTTCCCAGCAAGAGAGATGGCAGCTATAGCGTTTAACCCTGGGACTCAAAAGTTATAAGGCTCTCTTGCACACTTGCCACCCCCACCTCCAGATGAGCTTCTTACACGAAGCTCAGACAGGTGTGAGGGTTGGCTTAATCCCTTCTCCGCTTCCCCCAACATGACAGTTACAAGATCACGGCCGAGGAGACCGGGGGGGGGGGGGGAGGAAGAGAAGCAAATCAGAACAATTGAACTGTACTAGCTCCGATCCAGCAGGACCTAGTCATGCTTTTTAGTCATCTCGATAAATCAGCAGAACTTCTAAATCCCATTTGTTTTAATGGGGCGAAAGCGTGACTTAACTTTGGCTGGTCCAAGCCCACCAACTGCATCTACTGACTTCTCCCAATCCCAACAGGCGAAAATGACCACTAGGGAGATTATCCCCGTTCCCATCCTATTCCAAAATATACAATGCCGGGCATCACATTTTCCATCACTGAGCCAAATTCCTGCAGGATCCACGAAACACAATGTTCACTCTCTTCCGCCAAAGTCCCCTCCTTCAATTCTTGGCCCCTCTGGTTCCTTTTGGTCTACTATCCCCCACCTGCTCATCACACACCTCCTAAGGAAATAAAAATCCCCCCTCGTTTCTCTTTTACATGCTCCATTTTTCTCACAGCACCTAACATTGGACACTGCAACGAAACAGGCAAAGGAGCAGCCATGAGGAAAAGGAGGAAATTGAAGATATTCCATCTCCTGGTCTCCCTTGACTGAACTCTTGTCCCAGTCGTGAACCCTAAAAGCAGACCTTCTGTCACCCCCCCCCCCGCTTTCTTGATTGGTTTAACCCACTAGGACATGGGCTGGGGGGACCACAAAGGGTTTGGCGGGGGTTCTCGGTTCCTTCTCCAGCCCCGATCCAGGGACGCATGCCCACACCACACTCGTCAGCCTACAGGCGCCACACTCTTACCAAGACTTGGTCCGCAAGCTACTTCCAGCGCTTCCGAAAAACCGAAGCAAAAAAAAATAATATTTCTATCCCAGCCGCTAAATCCGAGGGAGCGAAACGAAAACCAGGAACCCGATCGTGATGAAGCAACTCCAACAAAAGGCAAATGCCAAAAGTCAACCCCAGAGTTCACCATCCGTTTCAGGGACGCCGGCCTGGAGAAATGGGGTTTGCCCCGGCACCACAGAGCTCCTCTCCCCGCCCCAGATCTTCCCTGTGGGGCACAGGGAATACGGGGCACCGGTGGCCACTGGGTGCTGGGTCCCTCTCAGGTCCAAGAGCAACACACTGGAGCTGTAATACCTGGGCGTTCGTGATCTGCTTGGCGTGGGGGGAGCATCGCGATCAGGAGAGGGAGGTGGCTGGATTTTTGTTTTTTTTATAAACCCATAATCCACGTTCGCTGTCTCTTACAGCTAATCAGATTAGGTTCTCATGGAGGGGGAAGGTGGAGAGCGGGGAGGGAGGAAGAGGCCATGACAGCCATGTGTCTATGGGTGCCTGGGGAGGGGGGGGCGAGGTTTGCAGTCCACAGCCTGGGAGGTTCAGATGTGGCAAATCAGGAAGATGAGAGCATCTTGGGAAGAAGGGTGGTTGTAAGAGTGGAGTGTGCGAAGTTAAGTGTGCATAGTTAAGTGTGCTGGGGGGAGCATGTGCAAAGGATGGGGTGCTGGTGTGAATTTGGGGAGGAGGAAAAGAAGAGAGAGAGGCGAAGGCTTACACAACAGGAAGCGGAGCAATACAGCAGGTGACAGTCTCCAATGCACAGCGATGACCAGGACATTTTGAGAAGAGGACTCCAGCAGGTGAATACGTCTTTCCTTTGCATAGCAACCTGAGGAAGGCTTGGAGGAGAACAGAGTCCGAGAACGCTCTAGTCAGGACATTTGAGTTGTCTTGCTTGTGTGTTCTGCGCAAACGAAGCAACAACTGACAAGCAATGAGGGGGTTAACAGAGATGTCAAAGGAGGTAAAGGGTAGTTAACCGGAGGCAAGGACAGGCAGGAAGCAGTTATCAAGCACAGGTAAGAGATTTTGCGATCTGGAGGCCGCCTGTGTTGCAAAAGCCTTGGGATGTTGCTGGTGCCTCCGTGGCTCATCCTACAGCTTGGGTGACAACACTGTTGGCTGTAGGGATGGGGTGTGGGGCTGATGTGTGGAGCCCCACCACCACCACTGGGGTAGCTTCTTAGACTTCCATTTCTTTCATACGAGGAGGGGGGTGTTTCAAAGGAAGAGCTTGGGAGGTCTGCATTTAAGGGCAGCTATGTTTGAAAGCAGACCTGCAAAAAGCACTCGGGACAGGTAGGTGGCATTTGCACCAAGACGACCTGTGAAAGTGTGGGCCATGTGAATTATGTCGCTTTCCGTGGAGAACTGCCAAGGCTCCAACTGCTTAAAGACTCTGAGGATGGGAACTGTGAACTCCTCCCCGGATTAACCAAGCAGCAACCACACAAGCAGGAATGCAAAAGGAAGTTTTTTTTTCTGCTCTGGCATCCAAGAAAAGGTTTCCTGAAATAAACAAGTGGGGGAGAAACACGGGGAAAGAACTGCGGTGCAGCCAGCCTCATAGCTAAGATCAGACCCCAGGGAAGCCTCCTCTCACCTCTAGGCATCCAGCACACACCCGTCCAGGGAGGATCTCTGTTTTTTGCTTTAGGAAATGCCGATTAGAGCAATAAAGTCTTCTGGAACTGAAGTCTCCAGTGTTTAGAGGAAAGTGTGCTATTTTCCCCGGCACATGCTTGTTGATGTGGTTTTCCTTTGGGGAGAGGGCACACACTGAAATGACAGCAGGGGGTATCTGCGCACGCGCTTGTGTCTCTCACAATCTTACACCCATTTGTGAGAAAATCAACGGAACTGTTAAGTAAAGTAACCTGCTGGTGGAGCATAAAAGACGGCTGTGTACATTCCAGAACTGTGAGAAAGGCTGAATTTCACAAATGGCCTCGGAACTGAACTAACCACCACCAGAAACAGCATCTTTTGGTCTCCCAGGAATTCTGCATCCCAAATTTCTTCTGAGGCAGAAAAAACTTCAAGGATTCCAACAGAAATGTTGCCATGGGAAGGAAAGGGGTTGGGTCTTTGCTTAATGTCAACAGATACGGCAGAGGGAAGGTAATGCCATGAGCAGGGAGGAAAATAGCTTTTATTTCCTTTGACAGTGGCAGGAAGCCAAACAGAGAGAAAGAGAAAGAGAGATGCGGAAACCGACTGCTCAATATTCCTTTATTTTAGAAAATAATAACAGTGATAATACAAAAATAATTAACTGTGCAAAAAGAGAGTCAACTTACACTGCAAAGCCAGGTGTGTCTAAAACAGCACACTCAGAACAAAGCACTTAAAACATCAGGATGCAGCGTGTTGGGAAAGAGGCCCAGAAAGGTTTCGTTAAGGAAGGGAAGGCCTCTTGCCCCCTGCAACCTCCTATATGCACAACTGCAACCAAGCTGCTTTGACGGGTGAACCAGGTTGCCTTGAATCATCGTCCTCCTCTCTCCAGAGAACGAAATGGCTGAAGTTGACTTGAGGAGGGAGATGGGGAGGAGGGCAGGAGGAGGGACAGATGCAAAGGGCACTGAGCCCAGCGAGGGCCGTCGCCTTTTGCTGGGAATAAGAAAAAAGAGGAGCTGGTGTTCCTGCCACCTCAAGTCTCTCAAAGCTGCAGGGTTTAAGAGAAGGTTTCGTTTTTCCAAAAAAAGCAAACCCACAAAATCCAACACGCACATTCCGTTTTTTAAAAGGCAACACTTTAGACTCCAGGTTGGAGCAAATGGTTGGAGGGTAAAACTGGAGATTAAGGCGGGGGCTTCAAATCAGAGAGCAGCTCCCAGACACCCCACCAGAGGCCCAGACAGGTCAGGGAAGGGGAGGGGGAAGGTCAGCGTGGTAAGGAATAAACAGTCCAGCTGCGCCAAATATCATCGCCACACGCCGCCGCCTCCTCTGCTGGTGCGAGGGTTCAAGGCAGGCGTGCTGGAGGGCTTCTTCCCAGCTTTGGCAGCGGCCTGGGGTCTCTCGCGCCCAAACCCCGAAGCACCCACGCGGCGTGCAGAGGCCATCTGAAGAAGGAAGAGGGGGTGAATGACAGTGGCTTTTGACAGACACCCGTTCCTCGACATGACAGACCAAAACCTCCTATAAGATTTAAGCTTTCTGCTCCCTGGTTCGTTAACCTGCCTCCCCACCCCTTCTCCGCCGTTCCTGAAAATTAAAGAGCAACTCCTACCTCAGAATTTCTCCCGCCCCTTCCAAAAGAATGGCGCACGTACCTCTTTCCTCATGGCGTCAATCAACTTGGGGTTGGGGTTCCGGCGCGCTTGCAGATTTGCATCGCCTTTGGCATCTGTCCTGAAGCAAAACACCCCCACCAGAAGGAGAAAAAAAAAGGGAAGAAGATGGGAATTCTGCTTCAGAACAAAACTGAGGCATCCTGCCCCTGCCGCCCACCAAAATCCTGTACAAAATCCTGCAGGAACAGCAGCAAGAATATTATTGGCCCAAAAATGGAAGCAAGAAGAACTACCAACATTAGAAGAATGGAGGATGAAATTGATGGACTACACAGAATTAGACAAGCTAACAGGAAGGATCTGAGACCGGCGGGACCAGAGGTTTACCGAAGACTGGACTAAATTTACTGAGTATCTGAAAAGTATTTGTGATGATCAGATTACGTTTGTAGGACTACAAGAAGTTCTGTGAGGAGTAATTTAAGAAATATTGTAAAAATGGAGAAATGATTTGTTAGAAAAGGTAAAGGCAATATTAAGTTAAGAATTGCAGGAGAAATAATCAAGACGGAAGGCTATCAGAGATGCTGAAGGAAATCCAAACAAGGACATATGTATAATAATTTGTGTGGTACGTCTTCAAAATTTTTGTATGCTAAAAATTAATAAAAAATATTATAAAAACAAAAACAAAATCCTGTACAATGAAATTCAGGCCCCTTCTATAAAAAAACCAGGAAACCCTAAAGCCTGTCTCTTTCCTCTGCCCCGCACCGCAGAGGGCAACATTTTTTGAGGAGCCCTGTCTAAACCCTGCCAACCCCCCCCCCAAAAAGAGGTTGTGCCTGGAGTCAGGAAAATACACCCCCCCACACACACACCTCAGCCTTACCCATTCTGGCCTATCTCGCGCAAGTATTTATACAGGTCCTCTGGAGAAGGCACAGCCCTGCCTTTGGCCTGGTGGTGCCTCAGCAGGCGTGAAACTTCAGCAACCTGCTTTGGGGACAGGATCCCCCCCTCGTGGGCTGCGGAGGAAAAAGGGGGGGAAAGATCAGGGAATGGGCCCACAGAATTCATACTAGAGGGATAGCCACTGCCACTCATGGGATGGCCAGACACCAGGGTTTTGCCTTGGGTGTAAAGAAGAAGAGTTTGGATTTGATATCCCGCTTTATCACTACCCTAAGGAGTCTCAAAGCGGCTAACAATCTCCTTTTCCCTTCCTCCCCCACAACAAACACCCTGTGAGGTGAGTGAGGCTGAGAGACTTCAGAGAAGTGTGACTAGCCCAAGGTCACCCAGCAGCTGCATGTGGAGGAGCAGGGAATTGAACCTGGTTCACCAGATTACGAGTCCACTGCTCTTAACCACTACACCACACTGGGGCAGGGCTGCTTCCGGGTGCAAGCAGCCTGGCCTGGCCTGCCTACCTTTGAGCAAAGGTACTTTGGTTTTGTGGACGGCAGTACTGCTGGGCTGCTGGATGTGAATGGTGCTGGCAGACGGCTGGGCCGGATCCCACAGGGCTGTGGACCGTTCGTGGTAGGACAGCGACGTGCCTGGAAAGGAGGTCGGGAAGATTTTGAGCACTGGTTCTTTATTTACTTGCACCCAGGTCTTCGGCCAAAGAGGCAGTCCCCACCCGCGGGCTTACAGTCTAAAAAAGCAAAGCAAAAGCCCGCAATGCAGAAGGGAAAGGCAGCAGGGAGGGAAGAGGAAAATCAAAATGGAAAGTCAGCAACTGGTTTATAAACACTTGTTGCAATGATGACTGGTTGGCACAGCTCAGGGGCAGGAGGTGCCTCTGGCAAAGCTGGTGAAATGAGCCCCCTGAGCGCGATCTCCCCCCACGGCAGCCACCGGATGGTGGCTGCAAGAGGGAGAGACCCACAGAATGCAGGAAGGTGGAAAGCTGTTCAGAGTCTGAATAATTGGTCTCTCTAGATCAGAACTGTCTCTGCTAACTGGCTGCAGCTCTCCAGGGTACTGATCTCAGAGTAAGAGTCGAGGAAGATCGCTAGCAGCAGTCCAGTGCTCTGCAAACCCTGAACGCCCTTCCAGCCACTGCCTTGAACATGCCAGCGACCATCACCCATAGGGAGATGCACCACCCACAGGTGTTAGGATATAGTTCCGTTCCACCTTAAAAGGGAACAGGCAGGACTGTTGTGTGTCACATGCCTGTTTACTTCCAGCACTTGCTGGGAACTTCCGTTTTGTATATTGCTTTTGCTTCCTGCTGTTTTGCTGGAGACGAAGGGAAGCAGACATGTTTTCCTTTGTTCCTGAACTATGCTGAATAAAATGCTGTACATTATGCTTACACATTTCTCGGTCTGCCTCTTCTGCTGTGAGAAGATTTACACACTCTGCTGATAGAGTGTGCACGGGTCTTTAAACGTATCTGAGGCTCGTGTCGCTGATTGATGCTGTTCCAAGGGAGACCAGCTGCCGGCCGGTGGCTAGAGCCAGCTGGGGGCCTGCCTGATGCCCCCATCTTCCCAGCAGTATCCCAATAACAGGTGGGTGCAGCAAGGGGATGGGGAGCGAGCGAGGGACAGCCAGGAGCCACAAGAGGACCACAGAGCTCCCTTGTGCAGAAGGAGAAGGGGCCTGGGGCCTGCTCTTACCGAACTGCGTCTGGTTTGCGGCAGGTGGTGGGCTGTCCGTGGAGACCCCTTCCTGCTTCTGCGCAGCAGTTTCATATGCAGAGCGGTCCAAAATCTGGAGAGTGGTGAGGAGACAGGAGTTAGGTGTGCATCCTTCCCTCCTTCCTGCACACCCATCTTCTCCTTAGCCAAAGAAATCAACAAGGAAGCGGTCAAGATTCCGCAGTTACTCTCCTAAGACGTTTATGCTACAGAAATAATTAACAGCCAAGAATTCACTGTGGATAAGAACAGAAGATTTAAATAAAATAAAGTAAACCTAGAATAAGTGTCTTTTAAGCAACCTCGTTAAAAACAAAATCTTTAACACCACCATGATGCACTTAAAACTGAGAGTCACTTAAAACTGAATTATGTCCCATCTTACCATGAGTCAAAGGGTGCTTTTCTGTGTAAAAAAGAGCCACTATCAGGATTCTGAAGTTAAGTACAGTCGTACCTTGGTTTTCGAACAGCTTAGTTCTCGAACGTTTTGGCTCCAGAAGCTGAACGTCCGATGTGGCTTCCACGCTTTGGTTTCCAAACGTTTTGGAAGTCGAACGGACTTCCAGAACGGATTCCGTTCGACTTCCAAGGTACGACTGTATTATAAAAGGATGCAAGCTGCACATTGCATACCCTCCAACATTCCTCAGATGAAAATAGGGCATCTCTCTCTCTCTCTCACACACACACACACACACTGACTCTCCTTGACACCCCCATTTTTATGTCCCCTCCTGTCCCCACAGAGCATTTCCTATCAGAAGAAGGGTGAAGGCCACTATAGCAAAATGATGCATTTCAAAATGAGAAGACTTGATTTGAAATCAGCCCACCCTGCAATGAAGGACTCCCATCATCACAGTTCCCTCCCACCCCTACAGACTGAAAAGAGAAAGAGCAGAGATTAGGTTCACGGCGAGACACACCAAACGCAAGTAGTAATTCAAGTCGGGCTGAGGCACTTGAGCTCCACCCTCCAAACTGCTCTGCTGGAGGGTCTCTCCCTCGTGGCCTGCTGCCTCAGTCATGGTCTCATCTGTGTCATCTGTGAACGGGTGCTCCGCCAGGTTATCAGGGTGGAAAGGCAGACCTGAAGCAGGCGAGAGAGAGACAGAAACAGAGAAATATGGGAGGCCCGGGTTTAAATATCTGCTCAGTTGCAAAAGCCCACTGTGGTCAAATCACTTGCCGCTTTCAGTCCCCTTGCATTTTAACTTTCTTTTTTTAAAACCACCTATTTCCAGGTAAAATTCACACAAGCATGTCAGGGATTCTTCAGCTGTGATCCCTGCACTGCAGGGCTTGGGCTAGGATGACCCGACAATTTCTATGTTTTTATGTCTTTATGAAGGGCAACCATGCAGATAAAATACAGTGGTACCTCGGGTTAAGTACTTAATTCGTTCCGGAGGTCCGTTCTTAACCTGGAACTGTTCTTAACCTGAAGCACCACTTTAGCTAATGGGGCCTCCTGCTGCTGCCACGCCGCCGGATCACAATTTCTGTTCTCACCCTGAAGCAAAGTTCTTAGCCTGAAGCACTATTTCTGGGTTAGCGGAGTGTGTAACCTGAAGTGTATGTAACCTGAAGCGTATGTAACCCGAGGTACCACTGTATTTCCAAAGCATGAATGCAAGTCAAACAACAAAGAAGAGAAATCGACTGGCCTGACACTTTGGCCAAAATATATTTTCAAAAAACCTGCAGCTGTTTCACAATGACATGAACAAAAGTCCTCACAATGGGTGGTATTAAATGACGCTACGTTTTACTCGCGAGAAGATCCATTGAAATTAATGGACTTGACCCAACGCGCACCTGCTACAGAGCTGTCCACCTGCGGTTCCAGCTGCTGGAAGCCCGGCTGGCTGAGGAGGCTGTAGTTGAAAACGTGGCTGAACTCCGAGGAGAGACGCCCCATGTCTGGGAGCAAGGGGAGAAGATGGCGGTAAGCATCTTGCAGGGACTTCTCGGGAGCGTCTGGTGGGCCCCGCGAAGAGCTGCGCTGGGCGGCAGGCTGGAGGGGGACCGCCTGCGCCCACGCCGACCCCTCGCAGTCCCCTGCCCCTTGGCTGCTCCCAAGAGATTCCGCCTTCTGGGTCTTCGTCAGCGATTCGGAGGGCTGAGGAAGCTCCAGGTTGGAGGAGGCGTCCTATGGAAGGAGGGCAAGGGGTTAAAAGACAGCAAGCTCCGAAGGCAGCACTGGTCAGTCCCCTCCCCCTCAATAAAGCACCCTGCAGCTAAAAGGAAAGTACCGTATTTTTCACTCTATAAGACGCACCAGACCACAAGACACACCTAGTTTTTGGAGGAGGAAAATAAGAAAAAAAATATTCTGAATTTCAGAAGCCAGAACAGCAAGAGGGATCGCTGCGCAGTGAAAGCAGCGATCCCTCTTGCTGTTCTGGCTTTTGGGATAGCTGCGCAGCCTGCAATCGCTCCATAAGATGCACACACATTTCCCCTTACTTTTTAGGAGGGAAAAAGTGAGTCTTATAGAGCAAAAAATACAGTAGTCGTTCTTCACGCAATGGAAATTGAGCAGCAACAGGAATCTCTTCTTAACGAAGAACTGAGCAACAAATCTACAGGGTTCTTAAAGCCTGGTGAATTGTACAAAGGATCTGCTCAAAGGCAAGGGAGCTCTGGAAATTTTGCAACGTTGATCTTGCTGTGATTCACCAGTGTTCGAATCCCCATTTAAGCCATGAAGCACACTGGATGCCTGGATCAGTCGCTGCCCCTCAGCCTAACCTACCTCACAGGGTTATTGCGAGGATAAAATGGGGGGGGGGGGGGAGCCCAGCACACGACCTTGAGCTCCCCGGAGGAAAAAGTGGCATTAAAATGCAATAAATAAACTAACTAGGTTGTCGGATATTGAACGCCAAGAACTAACAGTAGCAGCAGAGAAAACATGCCCCCCCTCTTTATTTCCAACTTTCTCGGGCACATGAAACTAACCACAATTACCCTGAATTTCTGCTTAACCCTCAAGAAAGAAGGGCATTTTCGCTGGCCAGGTTTAATTCAAGTCCATCCAACCTCCTCTGGGGAAGGTTCTCAGGCAGGGCGGAAGGAGAAAGAACTTGCCCAGGTGAAGACCACCTGGTGAAAACCCTCACACACATGGTTCTTAATTGTAAACTATATGCTGATCTCCGTCAGCAATTTCTAGATCAACTCTGCATCCCCAAATGGAAACCAGAGTCGGAGGTCATACATTTTCTATTACTGGGGGATGATCAGGAGCTCACCAAGTTAGTGGCTAAATATCTCTATTTGGTTTTTTTGTTGTCGGAATACACTGCCGACGTCTGATCTCCCTGGAGACCAAGAGATGTGACGATAGACTGCTCTGCCTCCTTTCTTTTAGCAAATCTTTTGTGCCACTGGGGAGGTGGTAATTCTGTACTGATTTGTTTTGGATGTTTGTATGTGGTGCCAATAAAAGGTTTGACGATACGAATAACTAAACTAACCAGGATAGTGTTGTGAAGCTGCTACTGCAGGTGAGGCTTCGGAGGGTGGGGGAAACTGGCCTCAGGTCACTCAGTGAGTTCCAAGCTCAAGAGTCAAACCAGGAATCCTGAGCTCATTCTCCCAGCCCTGCCTTCACCACCCTCCAGATGCTTCAGAAGAGTGAAGCAATATAGTTCAGGTAAGACACAGTGTTCACGGATGGCAAAGGGATGTGGGGGCAGGAGTCAGTTTTAGCAGTTGTTAAATCCTGAAGCTGAGGCTCCAATACTTTGACCACCTCATGAGAAGAGAAGACCCCCTGGAAGAGACCCTGATGTTGGGAAAGATGGAGGGCACAAGGAGAAGGGGACGACGGAGGGCGAGATGGTTGGACGGTCTACAAACATGAGTCTGACCAAACTGCGGGAGGCAGTGGAAGACAGGAGTGCCTGGCGTGCTCTGGTCCAGGGGGTCACGAAGAGCCGGACACGACTAAACAACTCAACAACAACAACAATAGTAATCGCTGCTGCCACACACCCCCCAAGCTGGCGCCCTCTAAAACTCCCAGCCAGGGCTGAACTCCAAGGAGAGACACCCCATGTCCAGAAGAAAGGGAAGCAAGTGGCGGTAGTTGCCAGCTGGGAGTTGCAGTTTGGAAAGCTAGGAAGGCGCCAGCTTCAGAAAGGCTGATGCCGAAGGACAAGCCTTGCTGAAGAATAACCAGGCATGGCTTGCGCAGAGGCAAGTCCTACTTCAAACTTTTTTAGTTGAGATGGGAGTGACAGTCCAAAACATCTGGGCAGTGGGGGTTTTTAAAAAACATTTTATTTTCTGTTTTTCCACGTGGGCAGTGTTGTGTTGGCAAAGGCTGCCCTCACCACTCTTCTCCTCAACAATTTACATTTCCAGTGAGGGTCAAAGCTGGGAGTGCCAGGAGTGAGGACAGCTCTGCTTACGGTGCCAATGAGGCTCTCACCTGCTGCTGCTGCTGCTGGGCTTTGGTGTCGGGCTGTGGGGAGGCTGGGCTGCCACTGGTGAAGAGGCGCAGGGCCTCGTTCCAGTGCGCCTTCATCATAGCCTGGAACTGGCTCATCATCTCCGCTCGCTGCATCTCCAGCCGCCGAGACTTGGCCTGCAGTTCCCGAATCTCCTCTTGCTGCTTGGAGATCCTGGGTGGGGTTATGGGGTGGGTGGGAAAGACACCATGCTTCTAGGACAGCCTTCCACATCACAGAAACAGTTTCATAATATTCAGCATGGCGATATATGGCAAATATATCGCCAATCACAATGTGTGTGCATGTGCTTCTCTCCTGATTCCTGTCGCCCCATGGCACTGACTATAAAATAACAGTTAAAGGTATGTAAAAAGTAAAAAAAAAATGTATCAGACCCCTAAATATCCAGTTGCCAGGGCATTACCCTGTTTGCCTCTACAGTGGTACCTCGGGTTACAGACACCTCAGGTTACAGACGCTTCAGGTTACAGACTCCGCTAACCCAGAAATAGTACCTCGGGTTAAGAACTTTGCTTCAGGATGAGAACAGAAATTGTGCTCTGGCGGTGCGGCAGCCCCAGTAGCTAAAGTGGTGCTTCAGGTTAAGAACAGTTTCAGGTTAAGAACGGACCTTCAGAATGAATTAAGTTCTTAACCCGAGGTACCACTGTACATAAAGGTAAAGGTAAAGGGACCCCTGACCATTAGGTCCAATCGTGGCCAACTCTGGGGTTTCGGCGCTCATCTCGCTTTACTGGCCGAGGGAGCCGGCGTACAGCTTCCGGGTCATGTGGCCAGCATGACTAAGCCGCTACTGGCGAACCAGAGCAGCGCACGGAAACGCCGTTTACCTTCCCGCCGGAGCGATACCTATTTATCTACTTGCACTTTTTGACGTGCTTTCGAACTGCTAGGTTGGCAGGAGCAGAGACCGAGCAACGGGAGCTCACCCCATCGCGGGGATTCGAACCGCCAACCTTCTGATTGGCAAGTCCTAGGCTCTGTGGTTTAACCCGCAGCGCCACCCGTAAAAAATGTACCAGACCCCTAAATGTCCAGTTGCCAGGGCATTAGCCTGTTTGCCCCTACATAGTTCCAGCCTTATTTGAGGCATTGTGATATATTGATATACCACGATGTTTAGCTGGTGATATATTGCAATGTTGAAAACCAGACACCGCCCAGCCCTCCTTCCCCTTCTCCACACACAGCTTCCCCAGCACCCCCAGAAAGACCTCCCCCTCGCCCCGCTTCCAGATACCTGCACTCGTAGTCCTCCGCCAGGTGCCTCTGCCTCTCCTCCCTCTCCGCCAGGTCGGCTTTGAACTGGGCTAGCTGGCTGGCCAGTTCTTTCTCGTGGTGGCTGCTCAGCTCCAGCAGCTGCTTCCTGCCAAGGGAAGGAAAGGGGTCAGACTCCGAAAACAAGAACTTCTGGTTTAAAGCCAAGACGTTGACGGCTCCCCAAGCAGCAGCGGATCTTGAAAAAGGCAGGGATGGGCTCGAGGAGGAGCCATCTTGAATCCACTCATCCTCACTCCGTTTCCCTAGCACAGTCATTAACTGAGGGAGGGGGAACCTTAGGAAAAGGCTTTATTATGAAAGTAAGGGGAAGCTCTTCCCCCCTCCCCACCTGTCTCAAGATAAAGCCAGTTGCTGGCTTGATCTAACAAGAGAACACGAGAAGAGCCCGGGCCCTAAGGAAGTCAGATTATCCTCCAACAGGGCCAGGGCCTTCTCAGTGATGGCTCCGACCTGGTGGAAGGCTCTGTCCCGTGAGACCAGGGCCCTGCAGGATTTAACTTCCATCCGCAGGGCCTGTAAGATAGAGCTATTCCGCCTGGCTTTCAACTTGAACTTAGCCTGATCTTTTATTCCCCCTTCCTTCCCTCCCCCTCCCCTTTTTATGAAGATTACCCGCTCTGGGATCCCACAGCTAATTCTCCCCTGGTCTCATCACTGGCCCAAATAGGACTAATTCAGCCAGCTAGCCCTGGTGATCATCTCATGTTTATTGGATGCATTTCCCCCTAAATTGATTTTTGAATTCTGAATTTATTGTTATTCACGTTTTATACTGTATTTTATGCTGTTTTTTGTTGCATCAATTAAGTGTTTTAAATCAGTTGTTAGCTGCCCTGAGCCTGGTTTTCTGAACCGGGAAGGGCGGGGTATAAATAAAAAATTATTATTATTATTAGATCAAGGCCCATCTGCTCCACATTCTGTTCTCACAAGTAGCCGTTGCCTGTGGGAAACCCGCAAGTGTACCTATCATGGCTAGTAGCCATCGACAGCCCTCTCCTTCTCCTCCTTTAAGTTGTTTAATCCTCTTTTAAAACCATACAAGTCAATGGCCATCACTGCCTTTTATGGGAGCGAGTTCCACAGTTCCAGCTATGCACTGCATGAAAAGGTACCGTATTTTTCGCCCTATAGGAGGCACTTTTTCCCCTCCAAAAATGAAGGGGAAATGTGTGTGCGTCCTATGGGGCAAATGCAGGCTTTCCTGAAGCCTGGAGAGCGAGAGGGGTCGGTGCGCACCGACCCCTCTCGCTCTCCAGGCTTCAGGAAGCTATCCGCAAGCCTTGGGAGCCCGCGGGAGTTCCCGCCGGGCTCCCACGGCTTGCGGAGAGCTGCCTCTATCCCGAAGCCTGGGGTGCGCTGAGCAGTCGCGCCCCAGGCTTTGGGTAGCTTTCCGCAAGCCATGGGAGGGCTCCCACGGCTTGCGGAGAGCAGCCTGTTCTGGGGGCTGGGGGGGAAATAAATTTTATTTTCTTTATTTCCCCCCCAAAAGAACTACTTGCGCCCTATGGGGCGAAAAATACGGTACTTTCTTTTATTTGTCCCAAATCTCCGTTTTGAATGTTATGAGAGGGGAGGGACTTTGCTTTATGCCATGCATAATTTTATAAACCTCTATCACGTCTCCAGAGCCAGGAAGGAGGGCTGGCTATCTGCGCTGGCCTTCTAAGGACAGGGGTTCCCTCTGGCTGGAGGTGCGCTTGGCGCAGAAGGGCCTAGAGCCCCGCCCCACCTGTGCTGCTCCCTCATGCTGCTCATCTGGCGCAAGCTCTCCTCGTGAACTTCGGCCATGCGCTCCGTCACCCGCTGCTCTAAGGCCACCTTCAGCTCCGACTCCAGCTTCACCTTCTGTGCCTCGTAACGTGCCTACGTGCAAAAGGGGACGGGGTGGGGATGGAAGGGAAAGTCACTTCAAGCTTCTAGTGTTGCATTTAAGACTTGACATGTTCCTAGTCCTCAAGGAGCTTGCAAATGCCAGGTACAAAGACTTCAGCTGAAGGTGAAAGCCCTTGAATCAAAGAGGTGCGTGCACCAACCTCAGCTCAACGGGACTGCTGTATCTGTAACATTATTATTAGTAGTAGTAGTAGTAGTAGTATTCTTTATTAGTCATGTTTTTGCCATGATGTTTTATTATGTTTTTAATATTCTGTTGGGAGCCACCCTAAGTGCCTAGGGAAACCCAGCCAGAAGGGCAGTGTATAAGAAATAAATTTATTATTATTTTATTAGCCATAGCAACTTGATAACTGGGCGAGTGGTACGTGAGGTCCGTCATCAGAGCTCCGCCACTGGCAATCACAGGGAAAAGTTGCAGCAATCAAAACTCCTCCTTCCATACAATTCAATTACAGTGGTACCTCTGGTTGCGAGCAGGATCCATTCCGGAGCCCCGTTCGCAACCTGAAGAGAACGCAACCTGCGTCTGCGCACGCGCAGGTCGCCGCTTCTGCGCATGACGTCATTTTGCGCTTCTGCGCATGCGCGGGTGGCGAAACCCGGAAGTAACCCTTTCCGGTACTTCCAGGTCGCCGCGGGACGCAACCTGAAAAGACGTAACCTGAAGCTAACGTAACAAGAGGTATGACTGTACAATCTTGGCCCACCTAGTCCAGCATCCTGTTTTCACCAGATGCCTGTGAGAAACCAGCAAACAGGATCTGAGCACAAGAGCTTCTCTCCCCTCTTATGGCTTCCAGCAACTTCCAGCATTCAGAAGCATTACTGCCTCCCAGTCTGGAGGCAGAGCATAGCCATCATGGCTAATGGCCAGCAGTAGTCCTCTCCTCCACGAATTTATCTAACCCTTTTTTAGGTTGGTGCCCATCATCGCCTCCTGTGGGAGGGAGTTTCGTAGTTTACGCACTGCATGGAAGAGGACTTCCTTTTGTGCAAAATGTCTGAACTCTCATATTTGCTGCGGTTCCCCCACCCACCGCGAAAGCAGCACCCTCGCTTGGGAAGGCCGGTTGCCCACCTTACCTTGACCAAACTCATCTCCATCTTCAGGTTGTCTCTCTCTCGGCGCATGGCCTCCAGCTCGGCCTCCAGCCCTTGAACTTCCGACTGCACCGAGGCCAGGACACGCTGGGCGTCGGACGCTTTCTGAGCTTCGCGCTGGGCCACTGCCTAGACAAGGGGTGAGGAGGAGGAGAAGTAGGGTACGCACTGAATAATAATAATAGGTGGCGCTGTGGGTTAAACCACAGAGCCTGGGGCTTGCCGATCAGAAGGTCGGCGGTTCGAATCCCCGCGACGGGGTGAGCTCCCGTTGCTCGGTCCCTGCTCCTGCCAACCTAGCAGTTCGAAAGCACGTCAATGTGCAAGTAGATCAATAGGTACCGCTCCGATGGGAAGGTAAACAGTGTTTCCATGTGCTGCTCTGGTTCGCCAGAAGCGGCTTAGTCATGCTGGCCACATGACCCGGAAGCTGTACGCCGGCTCCCTCAGCCAATAAAGCGAGATGAGCGCCACAACCCCAGAGTCGGCCACGACTGGACCTAATGGTCAGGGGTCCCTTTACCTTTACCTAATAATGATAGTAGTAGTAATAATAATAATAATAATTTATACCTCGCCTATCTGGCTGGGCTTCCCCAGCCACTCTGGGCAGCTTCCAACAAAATATTAAAATACAGTAAACCATCAAACATTAAAAGCTTCCCTAAACAGGGCTGTTGTTGCTGTTCTCTTTGACATCTGGTGAAAGAAGCTGCCGAGACTCCAAGCACCCCACCACCATCTCCCCACAAAGCCTGCCTCCCAACTGCATCCCTAGCTTGCGGTGTTGTGTGTCCGTCCGTCCCCACCCCCCGCCAGCATCCTCTCCCTGAGCAACAAATACCATTGAAAGCCACGTCTGAACCGTTCCAGATTTTCAAGGGCAACTCTGAAGCAACCTGGTTTCTGCCTAAATGTGAGGGAAAGGATCCGTCCCCCTGGGGAAATCCCTTCTCATCGCTGCCCCTCCCTCCAAAAGCAAGGCTCTCAGGGCAACCTGCTCAATGGCTGCATGCAAAATAACAAAATCTGCGCGGCAGCTGGATCAGTTCACTATTCGTCGCGAAGGGGGAGAGAGGCAAGACGGCTTCGCCTTCCAGCCTGTTCCCACTTGGGACTGGCCACCTGCGTATATATTGTGCAGAACTAGGAATTAGGAATTAACTCAAACAAAGCAGAGGCCAGGAGCCTCCCAGATCATCTGCCGAGGCTTTCCGCTCATCACAAACGGCATGTTTAGACTATGACAGGTGGGAATAATCTGAATCCGGAATTACAAGGCTGACTACAGCAGCAAGGAAGTGTAGCAGAAAAGAGTGAAGGCTTTTATTTTATTCCTAGCAAAATGGTTTCTTATGCTACTTAAAAGGTAAAGGGACCCCTGACCATTAGGTCCAGTCATGGCCGACTCTGGGGTTGTGGCGCTCATCTCGCTTTATTGGCCGAGGGAGCCGGCGTACAGCTTCCGGGTCATGTGGCCAGCATGACTAAGCCGCTTCTGGCGAACCAGAGCAGTGCACGGAAACGCCGTTTACCTTCCCACCAGAATGGTACCTATTTATCTACTTGCACTTTGACGTGCTTTCAAACTGCTAGGTTGGCAGGAGCAGGAACCGAGCAACGGAAGCTCACCCCGTCACGAGGATTCGAACCGCCGACCTTCTGATCGGCAAGTCCTAGGCTCTGTGGTTTAACCCACAGCGCCACCCGCGTTCCTAAGATCATCTAAATTTGCGCCATCTGTTGTTGTTTTCCCCCCTGGCAGGCCTCCTGTGGCTTTAGGGATGACCCAAGAGGCAGAAATCCAACAACTGCCTTCTCTGGCGCAGTGTTTGGAAAAGCTTTACCCGATGAATCGCTGCCAGTGAAGTGGTAGAACAAGGCACACACAGAAGCCTCACTGGCAAAAACAAGGAAATCCTGAGTGGGAACAAACCTGTCTCTCCCCTTCCCACTCCTCCCCTAAGCTGCTGCCTCAGATCACGGATCCATTTAGCGCAGTGGTGCCTACACTGACTGGCAGCCACTCTCCAAGCTTTCAGGTAGGGGACATTCGCAACCCAACCTAGACAGGAATGTAAGAAGTGCCTGGCTGCTGGATCAGGCCAATGGCCCACGCAGTCCACCATCCTGTTCTCACAGTGGCCAAGCCAGATGCTTGTAGGATAAGCCACCAGGGACGAATCCTGGACCTTCTGCATCCAATGCAGATGTTCTGCAACAGAGCCATGGTCCCTCCCTGACTATTCAAGGGCTATGAGCCATGACGGCTGGCTAGCTATTTATCTACCTAATTTGTATACTGCCCTTCACCTGAAGATCACAGATCACGAAAACGAACCCCTCCAGGTTAAGAGACAGCATGCTGCCTCCGAAGACTAATTTGCTGCCCAGGAGTGTGGTGGAGTCTCCTTCTTTGGAGGTCTTTAAGCAGAGGCTTGACAACCATATGTCAGGAGTGCTCTGATGGTGTTTCCTGCTTGGCAGGGGGTTGGACTCGATGGCCCTTGTGGTCTCTTCCAACTCTATGATTCTATGATTCTATGATTCTATGATTCTATGACTAGTTGCAAGAGAACACAAGGGGAAGCAGGCTAGTATAACGACACCCTGCTTGTGGCACCTGGTTGGCCACCAAGAGCAACATGATGCAGGTTTAGAGAAGACCACTGGCCTAGTCTAGCAGGTGCTGTTCACCCGATGCTCTCAGTGGTGGCAAAACAATCATTTAGGGAGTAAACACATTGCAAGGCCTGCCTTAGCTATTAAAGGGCACAACAAAGGAGCAGCAAGTCACAAGAGTCAGATGAGGGACGTTTGCTGGCATCCCGTTTCTGAGCAGCAGAATATTTTTAAAGCTTTTCTCTGAATCACTCAGGACTAGAAACCTTAAAAATTAAAGATCACAGACAAGATGATGGAAATAAGAGCAGCATTTGTAAAATACTTTTCAGAATTGCATAAGAAAGGGAAGGAAAAAACTTGTAAAATAGAGGAATATATCTTTGACTTACAAACTGCGAGACAAGGGCAACTGTGACTTTAAGGAGGAATGGGAGTTTTTTACAAATTATTTAAAAAGACAACAAAATGAATTGGACTCCTTGGCAGGTTTTGAATAAACATACACAAATTTGTTGGTTGACAACATGATGGATAGATATGTAAGTCTTTGTACAATTTTATAATATGCAGAGGAAATATGTGAAGAGAAATCAGGGAGAGGAGCTGAGGGAAGTCCTTGGTGGGGGAGGGAGGGAGGGGGCAAGGGGGGGAAATAATGTATGTGATTATATGGTTTGATAATTTGTTATGTGGCAATTGATCAATTAAAAATATTTTTTTTAAAATTAAAAATTAAAGGGCTCCTTGAAACAGAAAAGTGAGCAAAAGCAGCAGGGGCTTTTGTGTGTGTGATTAAACCAGATCTGGAGCCATGGATATTGTTTCCTGGAGTTCTTTCCTAGTCCTGTTAACCAAGATTAGACGTGGACCCGCAGGTAACAGCTGGCCCACGTACGCACACAGCCAAATCAGAATGAGACATCTCTACCCCACAACTCACAGACTGAGAAGGCTGCTGCCGCCGCGGCCTGCGCTTTTCCTCCATAGGGTGGGGATTTCTTCCATAGGGTGGTAGTTCTTCCCAGCCTTGGGATTCCATAGCAAACAAGGCCTCCCCTGCCTCTGTGCTCCGTGTAAGAGGCTATGGCTCAAAGGTGGAGCCAGAGTCAGCCCCGCCCACTAGGCAAAACAGGCCACGCCTCTTCTGAAGGGGTTTCCTTACAGAAGGACTGTGGCCCTTTCTTGTCCTGGAATACTGCAGCTGAGCAGCCAGGTAAGAAACCCTACTGATAAAGTACTCAAAGTCCTACTTATTTTTCTACAGCAGTCCCAGAAATTTAGCTGCTCTTCTCCATATTGAGCCTGCCTGCTACAGCCTCAGTAAAAAAATGAAGGCAGGAGTCTGGAGTAGGACAGCCGGCGTGGGGCTGAGTCTTTCTGAAAGAGGGCCAAGGGAGGGTAGGAGAGATTTAAAAGGGGATAGGAATATAGGATGCTGCCTTGCCTGAGCTTATATTGTAAGCTCAGGAGGGGAGGAGCCATCCTATGCACACTGATGAGCATTGTTTAAATGATAAAAATAGTATTACCCGTGGAATTTGGTGAGAATTGCTTGCTAGCAAGTAAGCTCAGGATTGCAACCAGCTCTCTTTTAAAAAATTAAATTGTCCAAAATCGAACTACATTGGTACCTTGGTTTACAAACTTAATCCGTTCCGGAAATCTGTTCTTAAACCAAAGCGTTCTTAAACCAAGGTGCGCTTTCCCGTACCAGCAGGGGACTCAATTTACAAACGGAACACCCTCAGCAGGAAGCGGAACATGTTCTGCTTCCAAGGCAAAGTTCACAAACCAAAACACCTACTTCCAGGTTTGCAGCGTTCTTAATCCAAGTTTAGGCTTATTCTCAAATTTAGGCTTAATCTCAAGTGTAGGCTTATTCTCAAGTTAACCTACTAAATTTCCAACTCCACTCACAGTTAATAGAACTGGCACAATGCTTTTACTTTAACATTTGCTAATGCTAACGCCGATGCCAGAATGTCTGTGTTATCAATTACTGTTTCCTGTGAACGGTCACAGGCTGACCTCTCTACATCCCATTTCCTTTGGCCACGCCATTTACAATGACTGGCGACAAGAACCATGTATATATTTAAGTGCAACTATGGGTAATAACTTCAGAGGGTGTCCATGCGTTCTAGTGTAAGAAACTGCCTGCGAGGCAAAGCTTTTGATCAGGGGTCAGCAAACTTTTTCAGCAGGGGGCCAGTCCACTGCCCTCAGTCATTGTGGTGGGCCAGACTATATTTTGGGAAAAAAATAATGAACGAATTCCTATGCCCCACAAATAACCCAGAGATGCATTTTAAATAAAAGCACAGATTCTACTCATGTAAAAACACCAGGCAGGACCCACAAATAACCCAGAGATGCATTTGAAATAAAAGGACACATTCTATTCATGTAAAAACACGCTGATTCCCAGACCATCTGTGGGCTGGATTTAGAAGGTGATTGGGCAAATCCGGCCCCCGGGCCTTAGTTTGCCTACCCATGCTTTTGATTGTGCTCTTAAATGGGGAGGGAAACCGCCCCTGCAAGGGGTTCAGAAGGCCTGGGAGGAGCCTCTCTCTCTCTCACCTTCTCCTTGTCCATCTGGGAGCGGCTCTCCTCCTGCAGGACCTGCTGCTGCTGCTCCAGCTGCCTCTCGCGCTGGGCCCATGCCTTCTGCTGCTCCTCCAGCGTTGCCCGCAGGGTCTCCTGCTGCCGGCGCTCCAGGTTCCACTCCGCCTCCAGGCTGCGCACCTGCCGACGCTCCTCCTCCAAGTCGCAAGAGAGCCTGGCCCTCTCCTCCTCCTGAGCGGGCAGAAGGGGACGGGGCGCACTTGTCAGCTCTGATGCGAGAAAGGTCTCGGTGGGTCCAATTCCTGAGCCCAGAACGATGCCCCGAGAAGGGCATTAATGGGAGGCGCCAGGCAACTCCCTGTGGACGGCGCTTGGCGTTTGAGAGTCAGCAGCCTCTTGCCACCCCAAAATGGGGCTCTTTTCAGCTCCCATAGCCACACGATGGGGGGCAGAAAGAAGACAGGGCTCCTGTACCTTTAATAGCAGAGTGGAAGAAGAATTTCAGCAGGTGTGGGTTGTTTTCCTCTTCTGCACTCCTATTAAAGGGGCAGGGGCCACTGGAAAGGTGAGGGGCCACTGGGAGGCCATTCTATGCTTAATCAAAAGTAAGCTCCACTGAGCCCAATGGGGCTTACTCCCTGGATTAGAGGACTGCACCCCACAGGAGCAGGGGCTTGGGAAGGTTCAAGGAAGGTGCTTCTTACCAGAGCCTCCTTCTCCTTGCAGAACTGATTGGCCGCTTGCTGCTCCTGGCTGAGGGCAGACAAGGCTTGTGAGAGGCGCTCTTCAACCTCCGAGATTTTCTATAGGAAAGAAGAGTTAGCCATTTCCCGAAGACAGAGAGGGGCCCCCAGCTGCGTCCTTCCTAGACCATTGTGTTTTATGATTTTCCTGATATTGTAAGTGACCCAGAACTGGTCTGTGACCATAATAACCACCCCCAAAGATACCTTACCAGGCTTTTGGTCTGTGACCGTAATAATAAAATTCTATTCTATCCTTCCTAGACCCAGGGTGATGGGTTGCTGGTTCCGTCCAGGCCTGCCTGGGACATTTCACTGCCTGAAGCAAAAGGCAAGATGGTGCCCCCCCCCTTAGCCCATCCCAGAGAGAGACGTCAACCTGACTGAGAGCGAATCTCAACAGAATCAACACAGAAAAAAGGGGAGGTTGTGTACAAGAGCAACAGGGAGGGGGCTGCCCCATTCTGCCTCATAGTTGATCCAGCGCAGCTACAAAATGCAAAGGTAAAGGTAAAGGGACCCCTGACCATTAGGTCCAGTTTTGGCCGACTCGCTTTATTGGCCAAGGGAGCCGGCGTACAGCTTCTGGGTCATGTGGCAAGCATGACTAAGCCGCTTCTGGCAAACCAGAGCAGCGCACAGAAACGCCATTTACCTTCCCGCCAGAGCAGTACCTATTTATCTACTTGCACTTTGAGGTGCTTTCGAACTGCTAGGTTGGCAGGAGATGGGACTGAGCAACAGGAGCTCACCCAGTCGCAGGGATTCGAACCGCCGACCTTCTGATCGGCAAGTCCTAGGCTCTGTGGTTTAACCCACAGCACCACCAGAGTGCCTCTCTCCAAATTTCCTGGTGGCCCTATGCGCCTGCCTGCCGATGGGCGAAGCTGGAACCCCACCCTCTTGCTGCCCTGCTGAGATCCGTGGCCCAAAACCCCACCTCCTTCTGTTTCCCCAGCGCCTGCTCAAGCCCTTCCTTCTCCGTCTGCAGCCTGCGTAGCGTCGCCGTTCGCTCAGCCTCGTGCCGGTTCCAGCCCTCCACCACTTTGGCCAGGGTCTGTTGAAAGCAGAATGAGAGGCTCAACTGGCTGTCTTCCCTGCCCCCCCGCCCCCGCCCCGGCAGGGATCCAGGGGGTTCCCCAGCTGTAAAGAGATCCCTCGCTCTTTGGGCAGTGAGAGAGAACTGGTGTATTGTCGAAACTGTAGTCAATTTCCCCCTCCGTCCCCTGGAAGCCACATCCTACACTGGCCTCTGCAGGCCATTTTTCTGGCCTGGACTCAACCACTGCTTGCTTGCTTGCTTGCATAGAGCTTGTTTTGAAATGACCAACAAGCAGCTGGGGGCTCAATTCTATTCCAGAGGTAAATGCTCACTATGAGCGTTGTTCTTGTTTCCTTTATATGCAGAGGTGACTAGAGCACTGAGCCTACAGCAAATGTACCTTTGAGACCCGTACAATGATCCTGAGAGAGTAAGCAAGGCAGAGGGCTCTCTGGGAAACACCCGAGATCCTTGTTCAAGCCTGGGATGCAACAGGCACCTCTGCAGTATGAAGAAAGTGTGTGTGTGTGAATTCGACAGTCCTTAGTTTGTTTTCGGTTGCAAGTTTGCTAATATTAATATTGTTAATATTAATGGTTAATATTAAAGCTGGACCATAAAGAAGGCTGATCGCCGAAGAATGGATGCTTTTGAATTCTGGTGCTGGAAGAGACTCTTGAGAATCCCACAGACTGCAAGAAGATCAAACCTCTCCATTCTTAAGGAAATCAGCCCTGAGTGCTCACTGGAAGGACAGATCCTGAAACTGAGGCTCCAATATTTTGGCCACCTCATGAGAAGAGAAGACTCCCTGGAAAAGACCCTGATGTTGGGAAAAATAGAGGGCACAAGGAGAAGGGGACGACGGAGGACGAGATGGTTGGACAGTGTTCTTGAAGCTACCAGCATGAGTTTGACCAAACTGTGGGAGGCAGTGGAAGACAGGAGTGCCTGGCGTGCTCTGGTCCAGGGGGCCACGAAGAGTCGGACACGACTAAACGACTAAACAACAATATTGTTTTGTGGATTATGAGAGCTGTAAGGCTTTGTGAATCTTATCATATGACCTTCGTTGTGGCTCTGCCATTTTGCGTATTTTTTAGCTGTTTTGTTAACAGCATTTTATAGGAGGTCCTCATTTCGCTGGTGATTTGCAATTGCTTTACTGAGGATTCGTTAATTATTCTATAGGATCCATGTTGCAATTGTGATGCTACGTTATTGTCTGTAAGCTGGTTTGTGATATGTGTGCGAGTCGAAAGTGGCCTAGAAATAGAATGAATGAATGAATGGGCTAAGTTGTTGACCTGGGCGGGTGCTGCAAGTTCTGCCTTTGAAACAGCCCCAGTTATCAGGCTTTGCTAAAAAGAGTGTAGCTTTCAGGGCTGCGGTAGGGAGAAGCTACTGCCAGTGTGGGGAACCTTTGGTCCTCCAGACGCTGCTGAACTGCAGCTCCCATCTCCCCCAACTATTGAGCTGTGCTTTGCTGGGACTGGTGGGAGTTGTAGTTCAGCTGGGAGGACCAAAGGTTCCTGCACCCCAGGGGTCAGAAGATTGTAAAGAACTGCCCTCCCTGCAGTTGCTAAGACCAGCAGCTGCTACGTGTAAAAATGTTGAAAGGAGCTCTGCCAGATGAGGCCCATCTAGTCCACCATCCTCTTCTCACTGTGGTCCACAAGCAGGACCTGACCACAGCAGCAGCAGCAGCAGCAGCACTCTCCTCACCTGCAGTCCCCAGTCACTTCTATTCAGAGGCCTCCTGCCTCCATGCCCCGGACTCCCCATGGCTCCAGCAATGATGCTCCAACTCCAACCCACCTGCTGCCGCTGCCGCTCCTGGGCCAGCCTGTCTCTGGACATCTCGGCCACCCACCCACCCACCTGTCGTGTCGAAGGCTCACCTTATCCAGCTGCTCTATCATGCTGTCTTTCTTCTTGTCCGCCGAGACGGCGACAGCCAGCTGCTGCTGCAGCTCCAGGATGCGATTCTGCAAGGCGTGGATGTGCCGCTCGCAGTGCTGGGTGGGAGGAAGCGGTCAGGAATTCACTGGTTGTGGAAGGGAAGGGTGAAGCCTTTGGGCTAGGGGAGGTAGGAGGAAAGGATTCTTGCGGAAGGGGCAACTCAAGTCCCGGCTGCTTTCCAAGGACCCCCCACTGATGCACCATTCTTCCAGGTTCTCCCCCCGTCTCCCCCCCCCCCACAGTCCTGAGCGATGGAAACTTTGATATCAGTCAAACCCCTAACAGCTAAAATGAAAGATGAAGACTTCCGGGACCTGAGCCAGTCCTGGGGATTATTCAGGAGGCCGTGCCTTACTTCTGCCCTGTTTATATCCTCTTATAAATACAGGTGTTCAGTCGCTGCTTCTCTCCTGTCCTACACGGAGCACCCTGCTCAGTGGAAGCGGAGTTCTCCTCTGCCTCCAAGAGCAGCATAAGTCCCCTCTGTGGCAGACAGAAGCAAGCCTTGATCTGCCTGGTTTGCATGAGCAAACCGTTTGGAAGGAAACAGTCTCCCCCATCCTGCCCCAGACTTGGCTGTCTTGGGTTAGCCTAGGGCAGCAAGGAGGACTCTTTGGCCTGTGAATCTGATGAGACCCACCAGGCCTCCCTATTTGGTCCAGCTGCTCCCACCTGATGTCAGGTGCGGGGCAGGTGAAGACCTGGCTTGGCCATGGGGGCGTTTCCAGGCACCACTGATCAGCTGATCTGCGGCACAGGGCTTTGCAAGAGGTGACAGTCAGCTGATTGACCAGAGCTTTGTAGGCTGTACCTTTGCCCATCATGCTGGGCCAAATGGAGGGGGGGAATAATGCTCTGGCCAGTGGCCAGATCTTGTTGCCCACATCTGGGTCCAGTGGCTGTTAATGGGGATGAGCATCAGGGAACACTTCATGCCAGTTCCCAGAAACTCCCCCCCCCAATACAGATAAGCATAATCAGTATTTAAAGCAATCATAATAATTCAGCAAAACAACAGATTTGCAGCTGAGCTACAAAACAAAACATTTTTCTTTTTTTTTAGTGTTTATATTATTAACTTGTAAGATATGCATTTGTTTTGGTTTTTTTAGTTGTTGTTGCTTTTTTAGTTTTTCGAATGTTGGTTTTTGTGTGTTGTGTATTGTTATTTTTCGATATTTTTCATGTTGTTGTTGTGTGGAAAATACTAATAAAATGTATTTAATTGTTTTTTAATTAAAAAAAAAAAAGAATTGCAGCTGAGCTATCTATGACTTGGCAGATCCAACTTCAGCAGTACTACAGCTATAGTACTCGTAGCAGACCAATCCCCTGTAAAACAAAAAACAAAAAACCCCGGGCGAATAAAAATGTGTTTAATTGGGCTTGGAAGAGAGCCAGCGATAGTATCACTTGCATCTCAGGGCGGACCTGCCCATCTGTTAAGATATTAGTCAGTGGCCCTCAAGCCCCACTGAGGGGGCTTCTTGGGCTTGGGTGCCTTGAATCAGGAAGGCTTTCCCAAGGCAGACCTGTCCGGGCCCGATTCATATGACTTTTCAGTGTCACAATATACTCCCAGCCCTCGTTAAACATGGACTGGAGTTGCTTTTAGCCAGCCGGACGTCCGTTGAGATGTTGCACCCGCTTCTACCAAAAACACCTTCCTGCAGTACCACTGCAAGTTGCTACGTCCCAGCGAGTAATCCGTTCTCCTCCCACCCAGACACGCTTATCACAACGCTGTGTTACAGGCAGTGTTTGTAGCAGAGGGACTGGCATCTCTGCCTGTCATGCTGCGGACCTGAGTCTGACTCCTAGGTTGGCCGGGCACTTCTTGGGGGAGAGGGGACCATAGCTGAACGGTGGGGCACCTGTTTTGGATACAGCGGGGACCACCCTGTGGCAAATGCGCCACCGAAATGTAGCCTGGCGTGAATCAGCCCAGGGTGTCCAAGGAACGAGAGTTCCAAGTGTATTCGGGGGGGGGGGGTGTTGGGGCTCAAGCATAGAGCAAAAAAGCCCTAATAGATGGGTGCCTCTCCTTGCTGCGCTGGGACCAAGAAGGAGGGAAAGCTCTCATGTCACGAGTGAGCAACGGATACTCTTTTAAAAAGTAAGCCCTGGTGTTCAGTGGCTGCTCAAAAGGACATACCGTATTTTTTGCTCTATAAGACTCACTTTTTCCCTCCTAAAAAGTAAGGGGAAATGTGTGTGCGTCTTATGGAGCGAATGCAGGTTGCGCAGCTATCCCAGAAGCCAGAACAGCAAGAGGGATCGCTGCTTTCTCTGCGCAGCGATCCCTCTTCTTGTTCTGGCTTCTGAGATTCAGAATATTTTTTTCCTTGTTTTCCTCCTCCAAAAACTAGGTTCGTCTTACGGTCTGGTGCGTCTTATAGAGCGAAAAATACGGTAACTCCTTTGCCTGGGCAACGCAATGGGGCAGAAGCCGCTTCACCCACACACTCCCACCTGCCTCCCAGAAAGGCCGAGATTTGAGCCCTCCAGAATATTTCTCCCAGGAAGTTCCAGGACTTTCTGGAGCAGCTCTCAGAGCCCTGGAGCTTACTTTGGGTTCCCAGCAGCACCTGGGCCAGGCATAGCAGGCTCCTGCGCTCTAATAGGCTTAGAGGGCTAAATTGAGCCTCGGGAGGGGGCCGGCTAGCCCTCCACCCACCCCAGCAAGCAGCTTAAAGCCGGGCAAGGCGCTCGGCAGCAGCATCACCAAGGTCAGGCTTGTTCCACCGGCACGTGGGCTGGGTCTGCGGCACGCCAGCGCCTCCTCCTGGTCAGGGCTGGCCTCCTTCCCTCATCATCGCCACCACCCACTCCGCTCCCTTGTCCTCCGGAAGATGGTTAAGACGAGAGGAGAACGAGGTGGAGGCAGGATTCTGTTTGCAGGTTTGGAAGGAGGCTGGAGTTGAACACAAGCTGGAGGGCAGGGGGACAACAATGACAAGATTGGGTACTTGAGAACACTCCTTTAAAATGCACCGGAGAGTGGATTAAAAGCAAGGGTTGGGCACAAATAAGGTGCCTGTGCCTTTTTTGCACAGCCTAAGAGCTGCCCCTTGAGCAGGTCTCTGAATGTTGAAAGTTTAGGATGGAGAAAAGGAGCACACAGTTAAATTACAGCCCTCCCTCCCAGAGGAGACAGCGATGGCCAGCAACCTAGATGACTTTAAAAGAGGATTAGACAAATTCATTGAGGAGAGGGCTTGCGATGGCTGCGCTCTGCCTCCAGAATTTGAGGAAGCAAATACCAGTTGCTAGAAATCGCAGGAAGGGAGGGTGGCCGTGCTCCAATCCTGCTTGCAGGTTTCCCACAGGGATCTGTGGGATCTTCTGGAGAAGAGGAGGTTAAGGGGTGATATGATAGCCATGTTCAAATATATAAAAGGATGTCACATAGAGGAGGGAGAAAGGTTGTTTTCTGCTGCTCCAGAGAAGCGGGCACGGAGCAATGGATCCAAACTACAAGAAAGAAGATTCCACCTAAACATTAGGAAGAACTTCCTGACAGTAAGAGCTGTTCGACAGTGGAATTTGCTGCCAAGGAGTGTGGTGGAGTCTCCTTCTTTGGAGGTCTTTAAGCAGAGGCTTGACAACCATATGTCAGGAGTGCTCTGATGGTGTTTCCTGCTTGGCAGGGGGTTGGACTCGATGGCCCTTGTGGTCTCTTCCAACTCTATGATTCTATGATTCTATGATCTGGTCAGCCACTGTGAGAACAGGATGTTGGACTAGATGAGAGCTGGCCTGATCTGGCAGGTTTTTATTAGGTTATCTGCAAAGGATGCTGCACTATGTGGGCTTCGGCCCATCCAGAAAGGCACTTCATATATTCACAACCATGAGTGCCGACTCCAGAGCAGCTGACACAAGTGAGGAATGATTTCACCCTTCACAAGATTCTGTGTTAGGCACTCTTGTATTTTGAAAACTAATTGCTGGGCCACTGGAAACTAATGAGACCAAAACCCAACAGGGAAAGTAAACCACACCCAAAGACTTTAGCCTGTCCACCCCAGCTTAAAGAGGGGGGAAAGAGTGGATATTCCCCACCTGTTGTGAAAAGAGCAGGTACCCATATCCATGCTAGTGAAGCTGGAGCTATTATTTTCTAGATGAGTTATTATGGTGTCGCAAGTATACAGTCATGTCTAGGGCTATACAGGCTGTGTGAAGCTTAATAGATTCAAGTTCTGCCCCAGAACGGAGCCACATTCTGCATCCTAAATCATGGAAATCAAAGCAAAGTCTCATGGCCTCTTGCTGATTTTGCATAAAATTGGTTTTTTTAAAAAACAAAACAAACAAACCACCAAATATATTTTTACTTGGCAAGCTTTTTGGAGGTGGGAGAAGGGTGCCACAGAGAACTCTAAAGATCTCCGGAAGTTCAGCTCCACTTCCCTTTGGCTGAAGATCAGGGCTGACACAAACATACAAACTCAAGCGTCGCTTCCTTGCATATTTGGGAAACGCAGCCTCGATTTGATGGTGAAACCGGCTGACCCCAAAGGTGGTGCGCTTTTAAAGCAGAGGCTTTTCTGCACGGTTTGGACACATATCAGGGATACGGCTGTCGCCCCTTTCAGCATTGCGATCCTCTGAGAGGAAGGGGCTGCTGAAAAGCAGATCTACTGGACCTTATCCCTTTCCCCAGAGAAGTCAGGACTCCTGGTTTCTTTCGTGAAGAGGTTACAGTTCAGCAACAACCGCAGCTTGCAGCCCTGATCCCGTCTTCCTAACTGCCCATGGAACTCTGCCCATGTTGAAGGTGAATGTAGGGGGGCACGTGGCTGGAAGGTCAGAAAGCTCATTATGGGCCATGATACCGGCTAAGTCCGAGTAGCTTTACTTAAAGTCGCAGGTCACATGACACTTACTTCATACCCCCCCTCCAGCCAGACTGGTCCATCCTTCAAGCCTCTTTGGTTGCCTAATGCAAAGCAGTAATCCTGGCAATTAGGAGAGGCGCAGGTGAGAAGGGGGGGTGGGGTGCGAGGCCGCTGGGCCAATGGACTAGGCTGCGTTTTTTACTAAACACCGGTCTGCGTGGAGCATTATCCCCGGCAAAGAAATCCTCAAACAGTTGGATTTCTTTGTTTAGGGCAATGGTTCTCAGAGGGTGTGGCAGGAGAGGATGGCAAGTGTGGCAGGAAGATTTGAGGACAATCAAAGAAACATTTCAGTGTAGTATAGTATAGTATAGCATCAAAAAATACACTTTTGCAGAATATGGATAGATATCTTTCCAAAATGAAAGCAAGAAGATCCAAATGATACTCAGGACATTCCTAATTGTGATCTTTTCATTTTCCAATGAATTTCTTATCAATAAAAAATTCAGTGTGGCATGAACAAATTTTTATTTGTTCATCGTGTTTTTAATTTTATAGCATTTTTAATATTCTGTTGGGAGCCATCCAGAGTGGCTGGGGAAACTCAGACAGATGGGCGGGGTATAAATAATAAAAAAATATTCTTATTATTGTAATTGTTATTGCTATTAATTTTATTATTATTGAAGTGTGCCCAACAGAAACTTTTTTGAGAACGACTGTTTCAGGGGAAGAATATGACTTTTAAAAGCAATTTGGGGGGAGAAGAGGACAGGGCAGACCCAGGCCTAGCAGCCACCCGTTCCCTCATTCTCCCACAATCCTTTGTGAATCCTTCAGGCAGGCTCCACAGGTGTCAGGTGCCACTCACCTTCCGCCGGGCCTGCTCCTTGTCCAAAGAGTCCTTCAGCAGGTGGGAGTCGGCATATGGCGGGTGCTCACGGAGTTGGCCCAAGCGCAGACTGGTGTAGCGGGGAAATAGCTGCTCGAAGCCGGCTAGGGAGCCAGGAGGAGAGACCTCCTGCAGGGGCCTGGCGCTAAGGGGACAAACGGAAAGGCGACGTGAAGGCAACAGAGGCTCCTTCAAAACCAGCCACAATCGATCCCTCCACCCTTCTGACACTCTTACTCTTTAGCTTCCGGCATCTTCTATCCCCAAGACGCCAGGACAAGGACCCAGGAGTTCTAGAGCCCGCTCTCTCTCAACATTTAAGGGTTGGCTGAACCACTTCCTGGCCTTTCACCCCAAGGGCTGTCGTCTGTCTACTGATCCTCCTTTTACAATATTGCTCCTACACTGGGGTCTCTGCATTTCTCTATCGTGGGTAACTTCTGGCCCACAGGCCTCATTAGCTGGGCCTTAGGGACACGGGTGGCGCTGTGGGTTAAACCACAGAGCCTAGGACTTGCCGATCAGAAGGTCGGCGGTTCGAATCCCCGCGACGGGGTGAGCTCCCGTTGCTCGGTCCCTGCTCCTGCCAACTTAGCAGTTCGAAAGCACATCAAAGTTCAAGTAGATAAAGAGGTACCGCTCCGGCGGGAAGGTGAACGGCGTTTCTGTGTGCTGCTCTGGTTCGCCAGAAGCGGCTTAGTCATGCTGGCCACTTGATCCGGAAGCTGTACGCCGGCTCCCTCGGCCAATAAAGCGAGATGAGCACCGCAACCCCAGAGTCGGCCACGACTGGACCTAATGGTCAGGGGTCCCTTTACCTTTTAGGACTTTGTTTGGCCAAGCCTTGCCCACCTGTTCCACCTCACAATGTGAGGTGCAGGTACAGGCAGGACTGAGCCAAAAAAGGGGGGTTGCAGGCGCTGCAAATCAGGCGCACCTGCAATGCCCTGCATGGCCGCGCTGTGAAGCCGTGACAACCAGCTGGTTGTTGGTGCTTAAGTGCCTGTGCTGCTCTATGCAAGAACAGCTGATATTCGGGACTGTCACAGAGCTGTGTGTGGTGCTTTAAAGCTGATCCACAGGGCTTCAAAGTGAGGTGCACGCTCTATGCTAGCCCGGGGGTTGGGGAATCACATCACTGTGATGTCACGTGATTGATAAGTTGGTGACCTGCAGAGGGTAGTGGAGTTAAGGGATCTGGCCCACCAGCCAGATCCAGTTCTCCACCTCTGCTCTCTAGAACTGTGGACTCCAAAGATAAGCTTTGTATGAGATCATCTCATACCCTAGCTAAAGGGAAGGCACCTCCATTTATCCTTCAAATATGTGAGGAAGCCGAGAAGTGAATTCTGGTCTGCATGCAACACTGAACCATGGTTTCTCATGACATGCAGGAGCCTCTGAATGCACCAAGCAAAACCAATCAGAAACTCATGCACATTACCAAGGCTCAGGACTGAACCAAGGTTTGTGTAGCATGCAAACTAAGCCACGGTTCTCAAAGGCCCCCAATGATTTCAAAAAAACAGCATGTGGCGAGACATCAAGGCTCCTCAACAGAATCTGAAATTCACCCAAGAGCTTAAACAGGGTTGTTTATCTGTCTCCTGAGATGAAGCTGCTTCTGGCTGGGAAGAGCTGTGTAGCAGGAACCCCTCAAGGCTACAATAGCAACTGACCCAGAGCAAGTGCTCTTTTTTCGGTCGGTACGCATCAGTCTAGCATACTGCTACCTCTTTTTCCCTGCCACCATCTCACTGCCGCCGCTTCTGCCCAAATGCCTCTGCTCTGGCATGACTTTTATGATCCTCAGGCACCTTCCTGGAATGTGCTTTGGCGCGCAAAGGGTTGCACTAAAGCACCTCCAAGAGGCTGTGCCTTCCACAGCGTAGCAGCACCTATTTTTCTTTTTAGAAAAAAACACCAACCGCTGCCCAGAGCCCTAGGAAGTCTGTTCATGTCCTGAGATGAACTTACTTGAGTAAGGCTGTCGTGCTGTCACTCTCAAAGGAGTCATCGTCTTTCCGCTCAAAAGTCCGCAGTGCCACAGCATCCCCTGCAGGCAGAAAGGTGGAAATTGTTGTCTGCAGGTCGGAAGCAGCTTTGGGGGTGAAGGGAGAACCGGCTCCGATTTTGGTATAAGGCCACTTCCAGTGTTCCTGCTTGGGAGGCTGGCTAGAGAGAACCTGCTATAGATTCAGGGGTGAGATGAGAGATCAAGAGGTGGGTGGCAGTGGAAGTGTGCCATGCAGGGAAGTGAGTAAAAAGGACCAGGATTAGGGGAGCCTCTCCAAAGGGATGTCTGGTTGGATCATGTTCCCCCACAAAAAGCTTTTTTAAAATCCTATTTTTTGTACCCCCTTCGTGGATCACTGCCTTGCCGTGGCGAAGGGGCTTGAACTATGGCAAGTTCTTAAAGAAATGGGGGTGCCTGCTCACCTCATCTGTCTCCTGAGAAATCTCTATGTGGGACAAGAAGCTACAGTTAGAACTGGATATGAAACAACTGATTGGTTCAAAATTGGGAAAGGAGTACGACAAGACTGTATATTGTCTCCCTGCTTATTTAACTTATATGCAGAATTCATCATGCGAAAGGCTGGGCTAGATGAATCCCTAGCCGGAATTAAGATTGCCGGAAGAAATATCAACAACCTCAGATATGCAGATGACACAACATTGATGGCAGAAAGTGAGGAGGAATTAAACAACCTTTTATTGAGGGTGAAAGAGGAGAGCGCAAAATATGGTCTGAAGCTCAACATCAAAAAAACGAAGATCATGGCCACTGGTCCCATGACCTCCTGGCAAATAGAAGGGGAAGACATGGAGGCAGTGAGAGATTTTACTTTCTTGGGCTCCATGATCACTGCAGATGGTGACAAGCAGTCACGAAATTAAAAGACGCCTGCTTCTTGGGAGAAAGGCGATGGCAAACCTAGACAGCATCTTAAAAAGCAGAGACATCACCTTGCCAACAAAGGGCTGTATAGTTAAAGCTATGGTTTTCCCAGTAGTGATGTATGGAAGTGAGAGCTGGACCATAAAGAAGGCTGATCGCCGAAGAATTGGATTAAGCTTTTGGATTATGGTGCTGGAGGAGACTCTTGAGAGTCCCATGGACTGCAAGAAGATCAAACCTCTCCATTCTTAAGGAAATCAGCCCTGAGTGCTCACTGGAAGGACAGATCCTGAAGCTGAGACTCCAATACTTTGGCCACCTCGTGAGAAGAGAAGACTCCCTGGAAAAGACCCTGATGTTGGAAAAGATGGAGGGCCCAAGGAGAAGGGGACAACAGAGGACGAGATGGTGGGACAGTGTTCTCGAAGCTACTAGCATGAGTTTGACCAAACTGCGGGAGGCAGTGGAAGACAGGAGTGCCTGGCGTGCTCTGGTCCGGGGGTCATGAAGAGTCGGACACGACTAAACAACAACAAAATTTTTGGTTCTCTCACCATGAGCAGCATCCCTGGACCCACGGAGCATGCCTTGCAGATGGCAGCGCACGTTCTCCATCTCAGAGATGTGGCGGGACTCGACGGCAGGTCCCTGCAGGAGAGAATGAAAGAGGCCTGGGTGTTTTATCCTGCGTCTCCAGCCTCTCCCCAGCCACATGACCTCTCCTCCTCACCTTCCTGTAGGTGCTGGCCTCCACGCTGGTTGAGAGTCGGTGGCTGAGCTCCTCCGCCAGAGTGTCCAGATCTACTTCGGGGGCCTCCGCTTCCCTGGAGAGGCCCAAGCTGTGGTGGTTCTCCAGGTGGGAGCGGGCCTGAACCTCAGCCTGCCGGCTCTGATGCAGCGAGGCATAGAGTTGTGCCGTCACCTGGGAGGTATAGGGGGTGCCCGCCTGAGAGGAAGGGACCTTTTGCCCTGGGGAGGCAGGAGCCGAGGGTGGCAGCAGCTCCATGTCGCTCAGAAGATCCTCACTGTGGATGGAGGAGCTCAAAGTCCTGCAGGCACTCTTGTCGGCCATTGGTACAGTTGGAGGTAGTAGTTCCAAAGCCTTTGCCCAAGCCGGCCAGGCTGCAGGAGTTCTGTGCTCAGAAGCCCAGAGCCCCTGTCATAATGCGGAGTGTCCCGTGACAACAGGACTCCGACAGATGGAAGGTGCTTTCAGACATGCTGGCCTGTCCGGAGTGCCGGCAAGGAGATGCTGGAAGGAGAGGCCTCGCCTGGGGCTGCAGGAACAGGACTGAGCAGGTGGTGCTTCCCAGCTGGTACCCTGAAGAGAAAACGATACCCGTTAGGGGCATAGAATGAGCTTACAGAAGGACAATGGGAAGAACACAGGTGACATCAAGGGTCAGATCCCAGCTAAAGAAAAGTCCTGCCCTGCGCCACTGCTAGCCTTTGCCCTGTATGGTGGCATTAGTCCCCATTTCCTGATGGGCACATGGCTCAACTCCTACTTGGTTAAAGCTCTATTGATCCAGGGAACCTGGGTGGGCTTCCCCCCCCCCACATGCTGCTGGACTATAAGTCCCATCAGCTACAGCCAGCACCCAGGGGCAATGGGATCTGTAGTCCAGCAACATCTGGAGGCTCCTGCTCTGCCAGCCCCACACTCCTGCCCTAGAGGGATCCCACTTCTTGCCCCTTAAAGCTCCACACTCACTTTCTGAAAACTGAAAACAACCCCAAGCATGCCTCCCGCCACATCACACACTCTCTTCCCCTTTAAGCGCCCCCACCTCAGTTTTAATGGCAGGCCCCTTCCTACAACTCCCACCCCCAAATCCCCCTGGAGCTCCACCCACAATCCTCTGGCCCCGCCCACACCTGTCCCCCGCCTCGCACCTGCCACAGGCCCCGCCCACACTGCGCTCCCCTCTCCCAAAAGACGTTGAGGTAAATCCTAATTCTCTCACACACACCTCCCCCCCCCCGCGGGCCCGGTTCTTTCCCGCCGTTTTAAACGCCTTCGCGCCCCTTCCGTCCCGCGCTCGCCCACCTCTAGGCCGCGCCGCCCGCCCTCAAAAATAGCACACACAAAAAAAATACAAAACCCAAACCAACCAACGCTTGGTTTTCCATTGGGTTAGGCCAACGCAACTCCTGGCAACCACCTTGGCAGGGAGAGCGGGGAGGCCGCCGCCGCCATTTTGCTTGAGGGCAAGAGCGCGCCGGGCGGGGAAAGAGAAAACGCGCGTGCGCGAGCCGCCGAACGAGGGGCGGGCGGGCGGGCGGAAGCGCGGTGAGAAGAACACGCACGCGCCGAGCGGCCGACCAATCAGCGCGCGCACATGCTCTACCGCGCGCTCTCGCTCCTCCCGGAAGTATAAGAGGATTCGGAAGCTGCCGAGCAGGGAGGGGGTTGCCATAGAGACGAAGGTGAGACTCCGGTAATGAGGGCGGGGGCTGTAGGCCCCGAGGGTCTTCAATACGGGGAGCCCGCTGAGGGGCCAAAACGGCGACCACCCGGACCTTCCCCACCAAGGGCAGGACCAGCCCAGCGCCGGTGGGGGAGACTGTGGGTAGAGCTCCAGGGCTGGCTGGGCTGCTCCTCTTGGTCCTCGGCCTCACTGCCTGATAGGAATCGGAGGCTGACCGGGCAATGTCCCCGCTGCCCACCCACCCCCTATCCGTCCCCACAGTGAGCGTTGAGGGGAGCAGGGCGCGTTTAACTTCCCTACTTTCGAATTCCAAAAGTGAGGGGTGCTAAACGGATGTAACATGACTTGGGAATTCAAAAGAGATTTTGGTTAAAGTGATACAATTTAGTTTTGCTGGGTAAGTAAAAAGTGTGTAAAATTGCATAGAAATCATTCAAAATGATTGCCAAGCACTTATGTTGTTATTGTTGTTTAGCACTGCCTAACATTTTCAGAAGGGAAAATTAAAATTAATGTTTTCTGAAAGCAGTTTATGTGCTTCTTCATCAAACATAGACTTACCAAGATCAATGTGGTCCAGTCACAAAAATAATAGCTGGTTCAAATGCCTCACACCCAAAAGCATCTTTTTAACACTCCCCCACTGAAGAAATCTGCAAAAAATCAAGTTTCACTGCTGCCAGAGTGTATCAGGTGGCTCGTGCCAGCGAGCCCAGCTTCACTAGGGCAGTGGAGGTGGAGGGGACTTTCTCAAGCCTGCCAACCTACCTCTGCCCTGGCAGCAACCCAAAGATGTGGGCTGGATTCCCCCCACTGCCTTGTACCCCCCCCCATTTTTTTCATATGTTTGTTCGTAATGGTGAATGGGTGCCAATTGCAAGTAAATATTAGGTAAGCCTTGGCTGATTCAAATGTTTACTAAATACAAGAAAAATAAACATTCACAGATCACTCTACAGGGCATCAGAAAATTTTCTGGGGCAAACAGTTTTTTTCTACACACACACACACACACACACACACACACATTAACCTGTGCAATTAACCCTAAGTTGCATAGGAAATTTTCTGGGAAGCCAACATTGCTGGCAACACTCCTGGCAAGAGCCACACCTCTCTTTTTGGTGCTCCAAAAGGAAGTCATGGGTGGGGGACACACCTTTCCTGACCCCACTAAATGCCTCCACAAGCAATTGGACCTGGTGATGGGTGGGATCTCTGTATCCATGTCAGGTGTGCATGATGGATTCCTCACTTTCCTTGCAGATGACGGTGCATAATTTGTACATATTCGACCGCAATGGAATCTGCCTGCACTACAGTGAGTGGAACCGGAAGAAGCAAGCTGGCATTTCTAAAGACGAGGTGAGACTTGAGGCTTGAGATATGCAGAGCAGGAGGCCAAGGCTTAAGCCTGCTAAGGACATAGTGTTATAAGAATTTTAAGGTCTCAAATACAGAGTAAATATTCATAAATGCACACATATCTAAATATACGATATGTCTGAAATAGTATCGGAGAGCAATCCTGAAGCCATTTTGACTCTCCCAATGACCTCAAATATTCCTCTGCAGTAAGGGAGGCAAATGGGGAAAGTCTTTTTGCTTGCAAATCCTGACTTAAGGGTGCATTTGTGTATGAATAGGGTGATCCAGCGACCTGGATCCAGGAACTAAAGTATTAACCATTACAAAAGAATAACCAGTCTTCCACTGCAGTCAATGACCATTATCAGGTATCCTGGCAGGCAGGATTTCTGCTGTAGACCGCCTCCTCCTGTGATGTATGCATGATGTTTTGGGTGGTCTTGGGCTACAGGGTGGGCAATTTCAACAGTCTATACAAGGGCTTGCGCACCATTGTTCAGGGTTCTCCTCCCTCCTGCATGTGGTGAGTGGGGACCCTGTTGCAACAGTTCCTTGAATAAAGATCAGGCTTACTAGCTGCTTTGCTTCTCAATATACTCTGGTTGGCCTCTGCTATTTTCTCCTACCAATAGGGAACCCACTTAAGGACTCTATATGGGCTCCGTAATACCCCATAAGGGAAAGGGAGCATTTTTTTACTTTTATGTCGGAGCCAGCCGTTATAAGTGGCGGAGTTTAGCATAAAATAAAAACACAGAGAGCCAGCAATATTTTCATGATGGTAGGAGCAGCTCCTTTTCGAACTTTCCTCTCCTCCTGCAGCCTCTTTTATTATCCTTTGTCTCTCTCCAGCCGCATGGCTGTTTTTCAATGTCTCACGTTACCTCATCCGGTCAAGGCTTTTATTGCCCCCAACACCATATAGGGTCCATCACTGCCCAGAGGAAACACAACTGCATTTAAGTCAATACATTCCAATACATTGTAAAGCTCAGAGTGCTGGTCAGCCGAGGTCAGGGGGCACCCTGCAATATTACAAGCCTTTGCCGTGGCTTTATGACTCCCACACTTATAACTATAGGAAGAGCCCTGCTGGATCAGGCCAGTTACCTATCCTGTTCTCACAATGGCCAATCAGATGTTTCAGTGGGAAACTCACAAACAGGATCCAAGCACAAGAGCCCTTTCCCCTCCTGCTGCTTCCAGCAAATGGTATTCAGAAGCATTGCTGCCTCTGACCATGGAGGCAGACAATAGGCATCATGGCTAGAGTCAGTTGATAGCTCTTCTCCTCCAAGAGTTTGTCTAATCCTCTTTTTAAACCATCTGTTGGTTGGTGGCCATCACTGCCTCCTGTGGGAGTGAGTTCCATAGTTTAACTATGCACTGCACCAGTCTCTTACTGGGATCTTTAAAGCCCTAAACGGCCTCGGTCCTGTATGCCTGAAGGAGCGTCTCCACCCCCATCGTTCAGCCTGGACACCGAGATCCAGCGCCAAGGGCCTTCTGGCGGTTCCCTCATTGCGAGAAGTGACAATACACATTCAGCAGAGGAGAAGGGGAAATGTGAGGATGTTTTCCTTTTATGCAACTTTGCAAACCTGTTCTAAGATACATTTAGCACCATGAGCGTGGCAGGGACCCTGAAGTGTGTAGTAGGAAACCCCCCCCCCCCAATCATTCAATTTGTACAAACTTCACACACACTCACACTCACACACTACATACGCTACGCTTCTGTTATAAATTCATAGAAAATCAACCATACATCGGATTTGCATTGTTCCACTTTTATTTTACTCCATGAAGGAAGGACTACAAAATGGGGAAGGTTTGATACAGGGCAGCCATAATCCCTTCAGCATACCAGCACATCCACAGGAGCCCTGCCCACTTGCTATGCCAACCCTGATGGTCCTAGACAGAAGACCATCAAGATCACAAAGAACTTGCATATGGGAGTGGATTCAGCACGGACTGGAACAAAGGACAATAATCAGCTCTTTCCTCCGGGGGCAGGAAACTGCAAACTCCCCTCTGTCACCTGGAAAGTAATCATGGGGAGGGGGAAAGGGGGAACCAGCCAGGCGACAGGACACTCAGGTTACCACCACAACTCCTCCCTCAACCCCTCCTTTCTGTGATGTATGTATGATGTTTCTGGGGGTGGTCTTGATCTATAGGATGGGAATTTCAAAAGTCTTCTTAAGACCTTGCACACCATTTTTTCTGTGTCCTTCCTCTCTCCTGCAAGTGAGGGGAGCACCCTGTTGCAACAGATCAGTAAAGGCCAAGCCTACAGGCTGCTGTTTTGCTCCAAGTTATCCTGGTTGGTGTCTTTGTTTTTGTCCAAGGGAGCCCTCAGATTTTTCCGTTAACAAGTGTAAAGTGTAAGTCTTCCGTGGAAGGGGATTGTGCAGCAACATCACACTTCCACCTCCTGTACTAATCCGTGATGCAAAACACAAGCTCTCTCTGGGGAAACATGAAATTGTGGTGGTGTTTACGTGCGTGGGGCAGGGAGAGGGAAGGGTGTGAGTAAAAAGAAAAGTTCAAAAGCTTCCTAGCTTGAATGATACTATGAGTTTAGCAGCCTTTAGCAGCAGCCGCTTTCTAATTTGGGGAATTCCGGTGTTGAAGCTTCCAGGGGAACAGCAAGCTCCATTTGGGGAAGTTCTGCTGGTTATGTGACTTTGGGTGATTCACATCAGATAAGAGGTTTTGTTTCTTGAAGAGGCGCTCAAGAGGCCAGAGGGTTACATACAGTAGCCAACCATTAGAAATTCCTCCTAGTAAAGTTGGGTTTTGTGAAGCAGTCATCTCTACAGTATATTCTTAGATTCAGCTTCAGAAGGAATATTTTGTATTTTGGGTTTTTTTAGTGAGTTATTTTTGGCTATGATGCAAGTATGCTTTGCACATGTTATGGGTTAACTTTCCTAGGCACTTCTGTTGCTGTAACATATCGTACCCTAATGTCTATCAGTTGCATTGATTACCGCATTTTTCGCTCTATAGGGCGCACCGGACCATAGGGCGCACCTAGTTTTTTTGGGGGGAAATAAAGAAAAAAATCCCCCAACCCCAGCCTCCAGAACGGGTCCGGGAGCGGGGGCGAGGTTGCGCGCAACCTCGTCTTCGCTTCCGGAGCTTGCTGCTATCTGCAAGCCTTCTGAGCCCAGCGGGAACTCCTGCCAGGCTCCGAAGGCTTGCGGATATCTGCCCGAAGCCTGGGGCATGCAGTGCTGCGCTCCCCGGAGTTCGGGCTGCAGGCTGCTATCCGCAAGCCTTGGGAGCCCAGCGGGAACTCCCGCCGTGCTCCAAAGGCTTGCGGATAGCTTCCTGAAGCCTGGAGAGCGAGAGGGGTCGGTGCGCACTGACCCCTCTCGCTCTCCAGGCTTCAGCGAAAGCCTGCATTCGCTCCATAGGACGCACACACATTTCCCCTTCATTTTTGGAGGGGGGAAAGTGCGTCCTATAGAGCGAAAAATACGGTATCTCTTAAGGGTCCCATTGGCTTTGTCTGTGGTTTCTGTGCCATGAATGTCCTTGTACGGTTAGCCACAGGGGCTGGTGCCAGAGCAGAGCAAATGAGCATGACGGAGTTCTTCATCCTTGCCATGGAATCTCACCCCATTCTGCCTGTGAACACATTCATTTTCTCTCTCTCTCTCTCTCTCTCTCTCTCTTTCTCTCCCTCCCTGCAGGAGTTCAAGCTGATGTATGGCATGCTCTTCTCCATCCGCTCCTTCATTAGCAAGATGAGCCCTGTGGACATGTATCCTTTCTGCTTAAACAGCAGCCTCAAAAGTATCACTCTTGCGGTTTTTTGACAGAGGGAGCCTGACTGAAGCTTTTTCATTCACACGGAGGAGGGGAAAGCAGCAATATCTACTTAAGGAGTAAAACTTGTTTGGGAGGGAGGGGGCTTAGCCAGCTGCCTTTGCCTGACGTCTCCTTCCTCCAGTTCTCCTTAATTCCTTGCACCCCAGGAAAGACGGCTTCCTCTCCTTCCAGACCAGCAAGTACAAGCTGCACTACTATGAGACGCCCACGGGACTCAAGGTGGTGATGAACACAGACTTAGGGGTGGGCAACATCCGAGATGTCCTGCATCAGATCTACAGCTATGTGAGTCGGAAGTGGGGGGGTGCCGCCTCCTCCCCTGCTCCCCATCCCATGATAATCCCTAGGATGGCTCTCCTGTGTACAGATGCCCTCCAAGCGACTCTGCAGTGAAGGAAGAGGAGTATTCACATGGCACCCGCTGCCACCGCCGCTCATTTGCTAAATGGTTCTGCGTAAACACCAAAGCTATGTTCGCATAAGCAAAGGCATCATAATAATAATAATAATAATAATAATAATAAATTTATTATTTATACCCCGCCCATCTGGCTAGGTCCCCCCAGCCACTCTGGGTGGCTTCCAACAAAACACTAAAATACAGTAACCTATTAAACATTAAAAGCTTCTCTAAACAGGGCTGCCTTTAGATGTCTTCTAAAAGTTTGGTAGTTATTTTTCTCTTTGACATCTGGTGGGAGGGCGTTCCACACGGCGGGCGCCACTACCAAGAAGGCCCACTGCCCGGTTCCCTGTAACTTGGCTTCTCGCAGCGAGGGAACCGCCAGAAGGTCCTTGGTGCTGGACCTCAGTGTCCGGGCTGGACAATGGAGGTGGAGACACTCCTTCAGGTATACTGAACCGAGGCCGTAGCAGGCGCAGGTCCTAGAGGGGTTATTCCCCCAGCCACCTCCAATCTGGCGCCTTCCAGATGTTGTCCTGCAATGCCCACCCTCACTTTCACTGACCCTCGGTTGCGCTGGTTGGGGTTGATGGAGGCTGGGAGTCCAGCAACAGCTGGAGGCCACCGGGAGGGTGTGTCCTACAGCAGCCGTCCTCAACCTTGGGTCTCTAGATGCTGTTGGACTACAACTCCCATCATTCAGCATGGCCAGGTATGATGGGACTTCTAGTCCAAGAATGTCTGAGGACCCAGGCTGGGAAAGCTGATTATTGTGTACGGTGGGGTTATTAGCGGGGAGAGGGATATGCCTCTGGTTTCTAAAGAGGGTCTGATTTGGCCCTCACCAGCCTGTTGCCTTCCTGATATTTGGGGCTGCAACTCCCACCCCCACCCCCCAGTTCAAACTGCCTGGAGGGCGCCAGGCTGGGGAAGGGTGAGCTAAGGTTTTGTTGTTTTCAGGCCCTTGCTTAATAGCACTAGAAGTTAACCATGGGTAATTTCTGTTAACTATGGGCATGTTATCAGAATGGCGGGGGGGCGGGGAGTGGTTTATGTACAGTCATACCTTGGATCTCAAACACCTTGGCTCCCAAACAATCAAAACCCGGAAGTGAGTGTTCCGGTTTTTTAACGTTCTTTTGGAAGCCGATGTCCGCCAGGGCTTCCGCAGCTTCCGATTGGCTGAAGGAGCTTCCTGCAGCCAATCAGAAGCCACGCTTTGGTTTCTGAACATTTTGGAATTCGAACGGACTTCTGGAACGGATTCTGTTCGACTTCCAAGATATGACTGTATAGTGATTATGAATGCAGTATTCAAAATTTATTATTTTTCCCCAGTACTGATTTTTTTCTGTTGGTGTACTTTCTATATTTTATGGGTAAATTGAGTAAAAAATGAGAGAGAGAGAGGTAGCAGCAGGTGAAATAGATCAACTGGTCAGGCCAAAGCTCTGTATATTTTTTGTTAAACAGCAGTTACCTGATTTTGAGAGACCACCAAATTAGGGTTTAGGGGTGCAGCCTTTCAGAAGGGAGCCCGGGCTCCTGCTTCCTCTGGGCCTTTCATTCATCTCCTCCAGTGCATTTGCCCCCTTCCTCGTCCAGCAGTTGCTTTGACTCAGTGGTTGCCACCATGCCAAAGCGGACAGGAGTCCTTTATTTCCCACTTCTGTGTTGGCAGCAGGGAGAGCGGTGCTCTTAGGGTATCTACTGCTGTCCTGAGAGAAGTGCGAATGATCCCAAAATAAGAACGAAACATCAGTCACTGGGGTTAGTCAAAATAGAAATCTTTTTTGGAGCGGCAGGTCTCCCAATGTTTGGTTTTCATTTCCCTGAAGCTGTTTCAGTTGGGGTCCAGAGGGGAGGAGGGGTATTCTCATCTCACTGACCTCGTGATTCTCCTTTCAACCAGCTTCTTCCCTCTCCTCCCTAGATCTACGTGGAGTATGTGGTCAAAAACCCTCTGTGCAGCTTGAACGAGAACATCCAGAGCGAGCTCTTTCGGAGCAAGCTGGACAGCTTCATCCGTGGGCTGCCCTTCTTCTCAGCTCGGGCAGGTTAAGTGGTGCGGGTGGGTGTTTGCCTTTCCCCGTTCCATTGCTGTAAATACTACAGTTCCCACGATGCACATGGAGTAGTGTCTGGCAGCGAGCTTGGCACTTTCTCTGCTGGGTGTGCCATCATCAAAACAACGGTCATTCCCTGCACTTCAGCCATAACGGACTTGTGGCCCAAACCAGAGCTCTGAGCTTGGATACCTTTTGGACAGCAGCTTTCTCCGCAGTGCTTTCCTCCGTTCCCTCCACCGCCCCTTGACCCACGGCTCCATCTTTTCTCCCATTGCGTATTCCCCTTTGGTTGGGACCCCAAGAGCCCCTCTTCCTTCCCCTCCTGACCGTGACACACAGTCCTTTGCCAGCCCAGGCCTCTTCCTTTCTATTTATAGAGCTTTGCCTCATCCCTTTCTTCCCCCTCCGCCCCCCAAGCTCCTATTTATAGCCAGTCTCTTCTCCTGCTTTTCCAGTCCAGCGCTCTCCCAGCCTGGGCATGACATCAAGTGCCCCGGGGCTAGGGGGGTGCTGCTTGGACGCAGCGGAAGATGCAGCGGCACGTCCTTCCCAAACACATCTCGCGAAAAGACGGGCCAGCAATCCAACTTCACGTTTCCGCCACCAGGAAAGGTCGACGAGCAACACAGGTCGAGAAGAGAGCTGTACTGTATTCTTTTTTTTTTGCTGGGTCCACCTTTGGTGAATTAAACAAAATGCCACCTTTAAGATCAGAAGTTGCTTTGATCACCCTCAGCCTTCTCTAGGACTCTCTGGGATTTGCTGGTTAACTCGGTTGCCATTGCCCCCCAGACTGTGTTATGTTTGCAATGGCTCCCTCCACAAAAACCCCTATGTCAAGATGAGAGTCTCAGCTTCTTCGTCGCCCTGCAAACGAGATGCCGAAGGCCAGCGAGGCAGCAGCTCTTCTTCAAATTGGACTAACCGGCTCGTTAAATCGTTGGCCTCAAGTTCTTGCGTCACACGGGGCTTTTTACCTCCTCGGGCTTCGATGTTCAGAGAAGGGAAACAAAGCGAAAGCATCGGCAGATACACCTCCAGGCCAGAAATTAAGTGCCTGGGTTAACCACCGTCTTGCTTCACCCCCCTTGAAAGGCCACGGCCAGTTGCGCCCATCCCTTATTCGCTCTTGTTCATTCTGAGCGTTTTAAGCTCTGGGAGTTCTGTGTGTGATTCAAGCTTGTTTCCCGCTTCTTTAAACGCGAGCTGATTTAAAAAATTATGTCTCTTGTTCTCTCTTGTCATGATCAATTTTGCATGCTTTGAAAGGTTTCATATTGCCGTGCTGGTGATCTCGGTCCGTTAAATGGTATAAAACCTTAGCCTGGAGATGCATCCAATTAAATGCCCCTCAAGGTCACTTGGTGGACGGCTTGGACTTGCATTCAAGGGCTGGCAAAATGACATTTTTGAAGCATGACATAAGAAGAAGCTGCTGGATCAGACCAGTGGCCCATCTAGTCCGGCCTCACAGATGTCAGTGGGAAACCCACAAGCAAGAGCCCTGCGGCTGGCATTCAAGAGCATAACCCATGACAGTGGGCTAGGTGGTCCAGTGGCCTGATCCAGCGGTCTCTTCTTATGATAACCTCTCTCGTGCCCTGGTCCCCTCCCTCCCAAAGAGGAGGCTTATTTATATTTCTTTAGAATACTTACACCCTGCTTTTCAAAGCAGCTTACAAAGGTTGCCAAAACAAGATGCCTCTTGAATCTAGTAAAGGGTAAAGGGACCCCTGACCGTTAGGTCCAGTCGTGGCCGACTCTGGGGTTGCGGCGCTCATCTCGCTTTACTGGCCGAGGGAGCCGGCGTACAGCTTCCGGGTCATGTGGCCAGCAGGACTAAGCCGCTTCTGGCGAACCAGAGCAGTGCACGGAAATGCCGTTTACCTCCCCGCCAGAGTGGTACCTATTTATCTACTTGGACTTTTTGGCATGCTTTCGAACTGCTAGGTGGGCAGGAGCAGGGACCGAGCAACGGGAGCTCACCCCGTCGCGGGGATTCGAACCGCTGACCTTCTGATCGGCAAGCCCTAGGCTCTGTGGTTTAACCCACAGCGCCACCTGTGTCCCTTGAATCTAGTACAGGCACATAAATCACAAAGGTGTCCTATGGGGACCAGGATTGTGCACATTTGCTGTGCGCATGCAGACGGTTATGGGTGTCCCCTGCTGTCCCACAAGGCAGCTGGCACCCAGGACCCCTGAATGTCGGAAGTGTCTCAGCAAAGAAGCAAGGGCAGGTCAGCTGCCAGGTATCTCCTGCCGCCAAAAGGCAGAGCAGAGCGTCCATCCTCCGTGCTGGGCTTTAGTGTCTGGCGGGGATTATCTTCGCTTAATCCCTCAGGACAACAAGGACAAGCAGGTAGTGAGGAGAGGGGAGCGGCATGTCTGAGAATCGAAAAACGCTGGCTGGATTCAGCCCTGTATTCTATAGAGCCGGGCCCAAGTTTTCCTCCTCCTCCTCCTGAGACTGCCATCTCCTGGAACAGCTGACCCCATCTACCTTTTTCAAATGAGCCTGCCTAAAATAAAACCTTGAAGTCACAATGGAAGTCCTGCTCTAAGTGAAGTCTTAAATCTCCCTGCTTTCAGAGCCCAGAAGACTACACCTCCAGGATCCTGCTCATCAGGTTGCATGCCCCAAGACAGGACTAGCAAGCATGATTGATGATTCTCCAACCATCAGGATGCCCCTGGTTTGATTCTAGTTTATAAAGGTAACAACTCAGGATCTTGGCAGCCCCCCCCCCCCGGGTTATCGCCAGTGGCTCCCATTTATCCTCAGTGGCCTGAGCATAGAAACCTGGTGGTTCCTGTTCAGATAACCACAGTATTTTATTTTTAAATGTAATAAGATGTCTCTCACCACCCTTCCCCAACCTGGTACCCTTCAGATATTTTGGATTACAACTCCCATAATCCCCAACAGAATACAGCAGTGCTGATGGGAGTTGCTGTCAAAAATATCTTTAAGGTGCTGTGTTTTGAAGGCAGAAGGAAGGCTGTCTCAAGTCTCTCTCTTGGCAGAACTTTCCTCTGCCATTGAATGTCTGGTTTCCTGGACAGGTCCTTTGACTCACCCTCCTATTTTCAAAGAGATGCCCACAGCCCTTTGCGAGGGATTTATTCAGATAACCTCCACATGTTGTCTCGGTTTAGAAGTTGTAGTTGAGGTTGTTTAGCGGTTGGGGCTGGGGGGGAGAGGAGGATGTAGCAAGGAGGACAAAAGGCATCGGTTTCCATGTCCGTTGCATTTCTGCAGCCGTTCACCACCTGCCCAAAAACTGCATTAACGTGTCTCACTGTTGCAAAATCATGTAATTTAGGTAATTCACACAATTACGTGCTGAACATTGTCATCAGAGTATTCCACCCCATTCACATCAGTGCAAACGGGGACATGACAGCATATTGTTTGCAGACTGCATTGGTTTCTGTTCGGGACGTGGGGGCGAATCAGCGAATTTCCGCTCCCGTTTCTGTATTCATCAAAATTTCCCCAACATCCCTAGGAAGGAGGAAGTCATCCTTTCTGTAAAGGTAAAGGACCCCTGACCATTAGGTCCAGTCGTGACCGACTCTGGGGTTGCGGCGCTCATCTCGCTTTACTGGCTGAGGGAGCCGGCGTACAGCTTCCAGGTCATGTGGCCAGCATGACTAAGCCACTTCTGGCGAACCAGAGCAGCGCACGAAACGCCATTTACCTTCCCTCCGGAGCGGTACCTATTGATCTACTTGCACTTTGGCGTGCTTTCGAACTGCTAGGTTGGCAGGAGCAGGGACCGAGCAACGGGAGCTCACCCCGTCGCGAGGATTCGAACCGCCAACCTTCTGATTGGCAAGTCCTAGGCTCTGTGGTTTAACCCACAGCGCCACCCACGTCCCTTTCTGTACCGCAGAGTTAAACTGGGGAACTCGCTCCCACGGGAGGCAGCGATGGCCGCCAACTCAGATGACTTTCAAAGAGAAATCGGACAAATTCATACAGGATAAAGCTATCAGCGGCAACCAGACGTGATGGTTATGTTGGGTCTCCACACTTGGGGGCAGTAAATGCTTCTGAATACCAGTTGCTGTGAGCCACAGGAGGAGAGAGGGCTCTTGCGCTGGGTTCCTTTGTATGGGCTTCCGACTTGGGCATTTGGTTGGCCACTGTGAGATCAGGAAGCTGGACTAAGTGGGCTGTTATCTTAAGGAGGATAAATAATAATAATAATAATAATAATAATAATAATAATATCTTTATTGTCATTGCCCCCTTTGGGGACAACGAAATTACTTGACTGCTCCATAAAAACACTAATTAATCAATACAGTATAATACAGCAAGGGAGATTAGATGACTTTCAAAGTCCGGGCTTCCCATTCAGGGCCGAGATCGCTCTGGAGAAGAAGCTGTTCTTAAGACGGCTCGTTCTTGTCTTCACCGTCCTGTATCTCCGTCCCGACGGCAAGAGCTCGAAGAGACAGTGACCAGGATGCGATGGATCTTTTACTATGTCCAGTGCCTTCCTATGGCACCTTGTGGCATAAATCTGCTCTAAGGTGGAGAGTGGGCAGCCAACAATGCTCTCTGCTGCCTTAACAACCCTGCACAACCCCATCCTGTCCTGGGTAGTACAGCTTCCGTACCACACACATAAGCCATAAGTGAGCACTTATGCAGGGGTGAATCTGGATTTCCACATTGAGCTGGGGTTTGGCAGCATTTCTTCAGCAGGAGGACTCCACCCGTTGGTCCTTCCTCCTCCTGGGCCCTCCCTGCCACACACCGATTTGCACTCTTTTTATCTGTGCCTGACACACATACCCATTAGCTTTCTGCTAATCCCAGTGAGCTGACCAGGTGGTGTTAGGCCAGAGGCAGGGTGCTTTGGGTGTGCTGAGAAGCTTTGAATTTTGCACAGTTCCCGAGTTTAATTCCTACAAAGCCCCAAATGGGAACGGCATCGGTGGGGCCTGCCAACGCTTGGCCCAGATGGGCTTTAACTCTTGGAAGTGAGTGCAGCTGTAGCTTCTAACTGCTGCCTTTGAGGGCACAGTGAGGACCTGGCAGGTGGACGAAATTGTCAATTTCTGTTTCTCTCATTTTCCCCATCTGTTTGCAATTCTTTTTTTAAAAAAAACCAGCATTTTTGTGGTTTGACTCTCTCCTAATAACACACATTTTTGTGTGCAGGTTTCCCTAATACAGTGGTACCTCGGTTTGCATATGCTTCAGGTTACAGACGTTTCAGGTTACAGACTTCGCTAACCCAGAAATAGTGCTTCAGGTTAAGAACTTTGCTTCAGGATGAGAACAGAAATCGTGCTCCGGCAGTGTGGCAGCAGCAGGAGGCCCCATTAGCTAAAGCGGTACCTCAGGTTAAGAACAGTTTCAGGTTAAGAACGGACCTCCGGAACGAATTAAGTACTTAACCCAAGGTACCACTGTATTCTTTCTTTGTAGCTCTGACTCCTGCACGTAGTTTCTCTTCCAGAAAATAAGGTAGTTCCCTCCCCAGATGCCAATTTCCAACAAGGGCGGCTTAAGCCGGTTTTCTTTTTAAACCATTTCGTAATGTGAACATAAAGCCTAAATTGGATTTATCATCCCACTTGCTCTCCTGCGTTGACCAAATCTGGCACCTGCGATGCACTTAGCACAGGAGAAGGATCAAAGGTGGGCTTCAAGGCTGTGCCTGGATTCCCTTCCGACGAATTTTGCGCCATGCTTTCCGCCTTGCTGTGATTCCTTGACCAGCAGGGAGATTCCAGCTTCCAGTAACACATCCCAAGGCAAGTGAGCCCTCTTGTTGCTTTCCTGGGCCTAGGGGACCCTTGACCAGTAGTTAGGTGACCTTTCTCACTTGGCTGTCCACAAACAGGAGTGTCGTGAAAAGAAAAAGAGAAGGAGGTGTCCCATCAAGGAAGACACGCCGGGAGTGTTGCTGCCGCCAGGGCTCCCGCTCTTTGGTGTGCCAGAAGCGTGCGAGAGATTTGCCGCTGCAAATTCAACTGGTGGGGAATCAGATCTACGAGGGAGGAATTAAGAGCATCAAACGAGATGGTCCTGAACAGGGCGATGGGCTGTTGGGATAGGATATGGCGATTTAGGGGCATAGGGCAAGGAAAAGGGGAGGGTAGCGAGAGGGGTGTCAGAGGCCATGCTTCACCAGCTGCCAGGCCAGCAAATCCCCCACATTCTCCCTCCCCCGTGGGGAGGGAGGGAAGGGAGTGAGAAGGGAATCTCCGGGCATTAAGCACCGTGGCTCCGACTAAGCCGCTGTCCTCGGCTCTGGTGCGGCAGGTGCCGCAGGGATCTCAGCCAGGCCTCCCCCAACCCCAGCAGAAGCCCCTTCAGGCATCATGTTCGCCAGCTCTTCGCGGGGAGGCCCGGCGCCCGCGGGCCGGGGGCCCGGGGGTGGGGGCAAGTTCAGCGTGGACGAACTGTACGGGCTGCCCAAGAAGACCAAAGGGGCGCGGGGGGAGAGCGTCCGGCGGCGGAGCCAAGCCAGCCAGGGAGGCCAGATGGGGCGAGAGGGGCAGCCCCTGACCCCCGCCCAGGTGCTGGAGGCAGCCAGGTGTTTGATGGAGAGGCGGCGGCTCGAGAGCTACCTTCTGGAAGCCGGGATCAGCGCTGAGGAGCTGGAGAGCACACGCACCGGCATGGTGTACAGGTATGTGGCACTTTGGGGGGGCAAGCTAGTCACAGGCTCAGGTGGGTGCCTCGTGCCTTTCATGCGCAGCCGTCCTGAGCCCCAGCATGCATCAGGGCGATGGTGGCAGCGTTGCTTTTAGTCCTTGCAAAACAAGTTCCCAGTCCTCAAGGAAGGTTGTTTTTTTCTGTGAATGTGCTCATGGAAAACAGGGAGATGTTTCCAAGGGAATGTTGCTGTTCGTTAATCGTAGAACTGTAGAATTGGAGGGACCCAAACAGGTCATCTAGTTTGTGTTGTGAACTGCCCTGAGATTTATGGGTGGAGGGTGGTATTTAATACATAATAATAATAATAATTAATAAGGCGTTAGGGTTGTTATAGGAAGGGTAGAACCTCTGGTGGGGAACATGTCCTGCTCCTTCTGGGATAGCCTGCCCACCTCTGGTCCCCATCTGCACTCAACTCTCACCTGTGGCTCCTGGAAGCTGTCAGCGTGCGACTGCGGCCACACCATGGAACGGCTTTGACTGGCTGGCTAAACCAGGTGAGAGAAGCCAACGAGTCTCAAACCCTGAGGGACTTTCTCTGCATGTGAAGGCAGGCTCTGACAGATGGAGCAGATGAGTGAGTCCAATGGTTAAGAAGGTGGTTTCTGCACATGCTGTAGAGCATGGGTAGGCAAACTGAGGCCCGGGGGCCAGATCCCGCCCAATCACCTTCTAAATCCGGCCCGCAGACGGTCCAGGAATCAGCGTGTTTTTACATGAGTAGAATGTGTCCTTTTATTTAAAATGCATCTCTGGGTTATTTGTGGGGCCTGCCTGGTGTTTTTACATGAGTAGAATGTGCCCTTTATTTAAAATCCATCTCTGGGTTATTTGTGGGGCATAGGAATTCATTCATTTCCCCCCAAAAAATATAGTCCGGCCCCCCACAAGGTCTGAGGGACAGTGGACCGGCCCCCTGCTGAAAAAATTTGCTGACCCCTGCTGTAGAGGGAAGTGAGGGGCGGATGGGGCTCGTCCACCTGGAAAAGGGAGCCCATATTGGAGAAGGAAGACTCTGATCCTTAACCCCCGCTGCCTTGCCTTCGGCAGAAGAAACGACTCAGGAGTAAAACCTACACAAATCCGGAGTCCCTAAGGCAGTTGGATGGTGCCTTTCTACACCTCCTTCCAGCAATTCCGGCAGCCAAGCTTGTGCCAAATGTCTTGCTTTGCTTTCCTCTAGACACACCGCCCAGACTGATGCCCAAGGAGGTCACTTCAGAACTACTAATCATCATCAAACCTTTTATTGGCACCACATACAAACATCCAAAACAAATCAGTACAGAATTACCACCTCCCCAGTGGCACAAAACATTTGCTAAAAGAAAGGAGGCAGAGCAGTCTATCGTCACATCTCTTGGTCTCCAGGGAGATCAGACGTCGGCAGTGTATTTCGACAACAAAAAACCAAATAGAGATATTTAGCCACTAACTTGGTGAGCTCCTGATCATTCCCCAGTAAGAGAAAATGTATGACCTCCGACTCTGGTTTCCATTTGGGGATGCAGAGTTGATCTAGAAATTGCTGACGGAGATCAGCATATAGTTTACAATTAAGAACCATGTGTGTGAGGGTTTTCACCAGGTGGTCTTCACCTGGGCAAGTTCTTTCTCCTTCCACCCTGCCTGAGAACCTTCCCCAGAGGAGGTTGGATGGATTTGAATTAAACCTGGCCAGCAAAAATGCCCTTCTTTCTTGAGGGTTAAGCAGAAATTCTAGGTAATTGTGGTTAGTTTCATGTGCCCAAGAAAGTTGGAAATAAAGAGGGGGGCATGTTTTCTCTGCTGCTACTGTTAGTTCTTGGCACAGGACTGCTAATGCAGAGGTTTGACTTCACCCCCAGAGCTGCACTTCATTGTCTTTCAAGATAGACGGATGCCAAGAACAATAATAACCCACCTCGTTGCAGGAATCATAGCTAAGGAAGCTACCTTATACAGACGGACCACGAGTCCTTTTGGCTTGGTATGGTCTGCACGGACTGATGCCCAATTCTATACAACAAAGTGCTTTCCCTAAGCATGCAGCAGGCCTGCCTAGCGCCTCCTGCCCAGGGCATCTGGGTCTCCTCCTTGACACCATTCCTCATGCATCTAGTCCCTGGTGAGGAGAGAGGAGGATGTTGGCTCTTGGATATCCAGAGGCCGCCTTGATGTGCTTCTTGAAGCCTGGCAGCACCAACGCCACGCTTTGATTTGCCATCTCTACGTCAAGGGAGCCTTCCTGGGCCCACCAGAAACCGCTTCTGAGTGGCTTTCTCGAGCTTGACTTTCCGCACAGTCCGTTTTTAGAAGGCTGCTCTGTGTGGCGGGGATTGGGACAGGGTGGAATAAGGAGTGACCCTTTCTGTGCAAGAGATTTAAGGAGCTTGGTCTGTTCAACATCTTCAAAAGAAGGTCAGGAGAGTAAATTGATGGTGATGATGTATTCTTGCGGGCTACGGTGTAACCGGCTGTTTAATCCAGAAGCCCTCCCCCCGCCCCCCCAAATCTGAATGCCAACCAGCAGGCAGAAGTTCAAGCTGTGCTGCGTTTTTCTTTTTTCTAACTTTCTGGATTTATTATTCCATTGAGCATTGGAGGCAAATGGTTTTAGAAAACTTCATCCTTCCCACTTGGAATATACTTCAGAGACATGCAGATTGATTGATTGAGCAAGTACCTAGCTTCCAGTATTTGGGGAGGGAGGGAAAACTACTTTAGCAAACACTGTGCTTTCACAATTTTTTTTAAATATATATTTTTATTAGTTTTTTAACATATCATTTTCAACAATTATTAAACTTACTTTTACATCTTAAACACTTTTCTTTTTACTTCCATCAATCACATCTGAAAATTTTCCAGTCTTTTCCAATCAATTTACATTTCTTACTTTCACCATTACATTTAAATATCATAACTAACGTCTCTCTTCTTTCTCTTCTTTGCATTGTTTCATATATTTCTCCTTACAAAACTTCTTGTAGACCTACTAGCGTAATTTGTTGATTGCAGTTGCTCTTCAAATAGTTCGTATATTTCTTCCAATCTTCTGTGAATCTCTGGTCCCACAGGTTTCGAATCCTTCCTGTCATCTTATCCAATTCTGCGTAGTCCATTAATTTTGTCTGCCATTCCTCTCTGTGCTTTCACAAATTACCTTTCTTGCGGGAGTTGAGTGCGAAGAATGAGCCTGGTGAAATCTGAGATTCATCAGAGTCGTGCCAAACCCTGTCACAGCCTGCTCTGGAGACTTCTGAATCTTTGATCCTTGGTCTTTGGGAAAGGTGATGCAACTTGGAACAGTTTGCAGACCTTTGATCATCTTGGTCACCCTCCTCTGCACATCTTGCAACTTGCCAATATCCTTGGGGTCCGACCAAGGCAGAATAGAGCAGTACCATTACTTCCTTTGGTCTGGACCAGGGGTCAGCAAACTTACAGTGCCTCGGGCCAGTGTCTCCAGCGCCGCTCATGCAGAGGGCGGGGGAGCGCGTGCCCATACGCGTGCGCACACGCTATTTCTGGCACACTTCCGGGTCGGAGGAGCACCGGAAATAGCTTGTGCGCATGTGCACAGGCCTCCTCTGACCCGGATGTGCACCAGAAATATTGCTTGCGCATGCACACAAGCTATTTCCAGTGCTCCTCCGACCCAGAAGTGGGCAGCCGCGCAGCGCAGCGCCGGTAAGAGCGGGTGGCAGCAGCGGGCAGCGGGGGTCGCCGCGGACCGGATAAACGAGTCCCTCGGGCCTTATCCGGCCTTAGTTTGGGGACCCCTGGTCTGGACACTATACTTCTGTTGATGCAACCTAGAACTGCATTAGCATTTTTTTGCTGTGGCATCACACTGTTCAACTGTCGCGATTGAGAATTCAGTTGAAGCATTGACCAGGGCTATGTACACATTGGTGGTCATCTGCCCTTCCGCCCCTCCCCCCGATTGCATTTCAAGCTGTTTTTTTGGTTTTGGTTTTTGCATTGCTGTACACACCAGAGCTGGGACGTGGGTGGCGCTGTGGGTTAAACCACAGAGCCTAGGACTTGCTGATCAGAAGGTCGGCGGTTCAAATCCCCACAACGGGGTGAGCTCCCGTTGCTCGGTCCCTGCTCCTGCCCACCTAGCAGTTCGAAAGCACGTCAAAGTGCAAGTAGATAAATAGGTACCGCTCCGGCGGGAAGGTAAACGGCATTTCCGTGCGCTGCTCTGGTTCGCCAGAAGCAGCTTAGTCATGCTGGCCACATGACCCGGAAGCTGTACGCCGGCTCCCTCGGCCAATAAAGCGAGATGAGCGCTGCAACCCCACAGTCGGTCACAACTGGACCTAATGGTCAGGGGTCCCTTTACCTTTTTACACACCAGAGAGTGGGTAGGGGTGCATTCACCCATGCAGATCACCTGATTTGTCTCCCTGTGCTGAACTCCAGTGAACCTGGCATCTGAGCATGTGCTGTTCCTAGTGTACACACCTCAGCGTAAACATGGCTTGCATTTTCAAATCGGGCAGGAGCCGGTTTGAGAGAAAATGCATCAAACAGCATTATATCTCAAGAAACTACAAGATAGATATAGATTGTAGCTAATGTTGTGTGCTCAGCTTCAAAAACCATCATTATTGCTGAAGTCCGCGATAATGTGCGCAGAACCCCAGTGTGTGGCAGCTGTGGAAAAGCTGGATTCTATGCTAGGGATGATTT